GTAAGTAGTAAGTAGTAAGTAGTAAGTAGTAAGTAGTAAGTAGTAAGTAGTAGTAGTAGTAGTAGTAGTAGTAGTAGTAATAGTAGTAGTAGTAATAGTAGTAGTAGTAGTAATTAGTTTGTTAGTTAGTTAGTTAGCTAGCTAGCTAGTTAGTTAGTTAGTAGTAGTAGTAATTAATAGTAGTAGTATATAGTAGTAGTAGTAGTAGTAATTAGTAGTAGTAATTAGTAGTAGTAATTAGTAGTAGTAGTAGTAGTAGTAATTAGTAGTAGTAGTAGTAGTAGTAGTAGTAGTAGTAGTAATTAGTAGTAGTAATTAGTAGTAGTAGTAGTAATTAGTAGTAGTAGTAGTAGGAGGAGTAGTAGTAGTAGTGGTAGTAGTAGTAGTAGTGGTAGTAGTAGTAGTAGGAGTAGTCGGTGCGTTGCACTCGGTGCGTTGCACTCGGTGCGATGCACTCGGTGCACTGCACTCGGCGCGATGCACCCGGTGTGTTGCACTCGGTGCGCTGCACTCGGTGCGTTGCACTCCGTGCGCTGGTTCTCGAGTAGCGACAGTCGCTGATCGCCGCTACAATGAAAACACGAATCAAAGGCTTCGTTAAAGAATAAAAACACTCCGCGGGTCGGGGAGTCGACGAAGACTCCGATTGAACCACGAAAAGACCCCGTCGACCGGCTGAGAGGAAGACGCACCGGTTGAACCACGAAAAGAAAGGCTCCTGTGTGACGCTTGAAAGAAGAACAAATGAATTCTGCACTAAGATACGTACCTGAGGGCCCAATTTGGACAAGATTGCCCTGAAAACACGAATTATATATCATATCATATCGGTATCCCATGTTTCAAAGTAGACCAAGCACGAGAAGAGGTCACGTCCTCAATGATAGCACTATTTTGTGGTGGTAGTCTACCTTCAATTCAATTGAAATACTCTGGGCCGCCCTGGTTCAGTTTGGGATACAGGTCCATCAGACAAACCCAAGAGGAGCTTGGAGGCCCTCGTTGATGTGAGGATATCACAAGAACAAACTGCCATTCCCAAATCATCCACTTCCGTTCCAACCCCCCTTTTTCCCTCCTCAAAGAGTTCCTTCACTTGCTCAGCGTTCATCCTCTTTGAAAGGTTGGAGATCCGCACGGCTGTGCCCAGCGCCTCCCAATTCCCTCCCCACGCCATGTTTGTCGCACGCAAAGGCTGCAGCTCGGGCTGCTCGGGCTGTGGCTCGGGCTGCTCGGGCTGCGGCTCGGACTGCTCGGGCTGCGCGGAGCGTGGTGCGGTGTCCGCTTTGGGGAGAGGCGCAGGCACCGGTGCAGGCGAAGAGAGCGCCTGGCAAAAGGGTCGACTTTTGGAAGAAGCTTAGCACATGGTATGTATATAAGTGGTTCCCAGCTTTCGTGTGTTTCTCACCACCAACTCGGGGTGAACGCAACAAAAGGTCAGGAATAGTGCAATTTGCATCAACGTGCTTTGTTCATCTTTGTTCTTGCTCTTGTCTCTTGTTCTCTGAATACGGCTTATCATTTCTGAGTTCTGTTTGCCTTTGAAAGTGTTCCTTTTGTCTTACTGATGTTTTTTGATGTTTTTTTGGAAATGCGCGGGCACACTATCTATACTACCAGCAGCGTAAGATAGCGTAAGTGTGCAGCTCCGTACCCTGTCAGATCTCGCACCTGAAGCAGCTCCTTCGGGAAATTGATGTTGATGGACATGCGTAAGGATCCTTCGCGGAGCTCCATGGTCGCACCGCATGGCAGGTCCATTGGCATCATCGCCATTGTGGAGCTCACACGATCTCCACAGCTCCTACTGAAGCCGGTTGAACCTAAATGCCCTCGGGAGACACGTGGTGCCATGACATTCTTTCACCCAGCTCATTGAGAAACATGTCGTTAAGCACTTCATGCAATTGAGCCACCGTCCGCCGGCCAACCGGAAGCTCACCAGCTTGAGAACGCACCGTTCGGTTTCACCGGCCGTACACCGGGTTTTCTCTGCCTGCAAATAGATCGTCTGCTTCACACTGCTCCTCACTCGCTCCAAAGGCTCCACCAAGCCGCTGGTCAAGGCACCTGAGATGGAGGAGGAAGCTTCTATAGTTACTAGAAAGCTTGGTTGAGGGAGAAACCGAGCAATGACTGTCACAAGCCACCTCCTCCTCTCGGGAAACGCTCGGAGTCCACGAAGCGGATCCGTGAGGTGGCTCTCCAGCTGGTTCAGGAACAATTATGAACCTGCCCTGGTGTATTCATGTGTATGAAAACTTGAAGGTTGTTCTCACTCCATCCGACGGTTCGGGTATGGTGTCCCATCACGTCTCAGTGGACGTCCAAGGTACTTGGCTCACCAGGCACCACCACGATGCGGTAGGGCCTTGCTACGGTGGCAGCTTCTCAGCTGACCCTTTTGGAAGATATCCAATACCATCTGGAACACCAGAACGCCTGAAACAAGAGTCTTCATTTCTTAAGCAGGATAGCCTTCCTTCAACTGAAGATTCAAAGGGGAACTGAAGATGCACACCGGCCGAAATCAACGGCGTGTCCCTTCCAGAAGGAACGGCGCGAAAGACTCTCTTCAAAAGGTGAGGATTGTTGAAGCTTGGAGTATGGTGGAAGGATGTTCCCCCACCGGAGTTGTATGCTGCCAACGGATCTGAGTGTTTAAAATATTCTGCACGATTCTGTTTAAAAATCCATGGAGGCAAGCACTACATGGATCTGACATGTGCAGTAGTCAATCGACTGACTAAGACATCCATCTCTCCAGTCCCACCGAAGCTCAAGCACGATGGTCTCTTCGACATTTTGACCAAACTCTTCCTGGCACCCCGCACGTGTTTTCCAAGGGCGCGCCACGCCACAAGAACTCAGAGGGAATGATCCTCAGCACTGACGAGAGGAGGAAAGACCCGACCGGGGGGGTGGTGGAATGGAGGATGTGGTGACTGACACTTGCCCAAATCCCACTGTTGTACACTGTTCTCCTGAAAAAGAATCTTCATAGGCATGCTTGGAGGTCGAGACCCCTCAACAACAGCTTTTGGGACACCTTCATTCTTTCTGCGATGCGCCCATTTGCGCGGAGGTCGCCCAATAGTCATTCACACATGAATGAATGAATGTCCCAGTATTGCACATGCAGTTTGGTTGTATCACAGAGGTTGCTCCTGGGAGAGGAGCATGGCTTTCCATCCACGCTTTGGGCTCCGGGTGCGGTTTCCATCCTTTTTCACCGTCGTGGAGCCACGAGAGTCGTCTCCGTGTCCATTCATCTTGGCTCCCCCTCGTCTTCCGCTTCCCGGTGATGCCTGGAATGGGCACTCGCGACAATCAAGGGATGTGTCTCACATTAATCATTAACTGAATCTCCATCAGGGTTTGTCCCAAACTTATGTTAACAATATGTTCTCTGTTTATCAGCTACAGGTTTGCCAAAGACTGAGCGGACGATGAGTGTTCATGCAACGGTTGAGAAGCAGGTTGCGGTTCTCCCTCTCCACATCACTACATCTGAACATGGTCAACCCACCAAAACCCAAAACCCATGGTGACTGCTTCGCAGCTTGGCAGATGTGGCACGCCATGCCGACGGATCAACGCCACCGTCGCAACTGGGCACCCCAAACCCCACATCAGGCGCAACTGGGCATTTCCCTGGACCTCCTTCCAATCCACCTGTGCGGATTCCGGCGTGTTGGGATCAGAAGGTGCCTGGTGTCCGTGGGTTTTTCCTGGTGGTTGGGCAGTTCCAGCGCCAACTGAGACAAGGCAGGCCCCCATAACAGCACGACAACTAGCGAGAGTGTCATTTCGGAAAGCTAGTTGTTGTTGAAGGCAAGCTTGCAAGTTTGTTCAAGCCTGGGGGACTTTCGAAGAAGCTTGGTTGCCAAATATGATCAGGAAGCTGCTGACTGTGCCCTTCAGGGTATTTGATGGTCTTCAGCTTTCCAAACGGAAAGGGCGTTAAGAACTATCTTTGGGGCAAGACCTGGGAACTGTCATGTGCTTGAAAGAGAGGCCACCCCATTCCCACGTCCAAGCCTCTCATCCCCTGAACAGAACAACTCTTCAGGATCAAGGGCCGGCAGCTAGAGCTCTCTACACGTCTCATGATCCTGTTGTTCTTTGATGACGGCGGGTGGTCCTACCACATATATGAATCTAGAGATATAGTAATATATCTCACATCAATGAGATTGATTACCCAAACATGTTGGAACACTTCGAGACTTTCCTTTACCAATCCCATCGTCGGCCCGCAGGAACTGTGCATCGCGCCCGGATGGAGTAGAACTTGTCCTTCACCAGGCGCTGTCGAGTCCAATGTTCCGGGCCTCAAGGAGTTTCTTCCGGGTTGGACAGATGGACGAGTCTAGATGGCCGGATCTGGTGTCACTCCACATCGAGTCCAAAGGTGGGAGTTCTGGGCTTCTGAAAAGCAAGACCTGGCTGCCTTGATCAACTTCAATGTAGCAGAATCACAGACCAATCTCGATTTTGGTGGGTTCGGTTCAAATACTACTTGAGAACAGCAAGGATGAGTGTCATGAGGGTGCTTCAGTCCAATCTAACATCGACCCCTGCGGGGATCATCAACCTTTTGCAGTATATACATTGACGAACCTAAATTCACCTCAACCTTACACTCCATCCCCCCAGTCTCGCGCGCCAAACGCCACGGGCGCCGCCGCAACTCGCCTCCTTTTTGCTACAAGACGTGGCACTCACGGCACTCCCTTCGCTCGAAGAGGCCGCAAGGTCCCCCGCGCGAAGAGGTCGACAGCTGGCTGGCGCGGCGACCGGGAATCAGGGACCACTTGCCCGTGAAAAAGGGATCCTTGGAGAGCTGTCTGGAGACGGTCTGGAAGACAGGTTTCGCTCTTCTTGGAACTCATAAATAAAACAAAAATGAGTGTTGATGTGCGAATGGTCTGAACTTCTGCAGAGAAAGCAGGGCTTGTTTCATGTGTTTGCCCGATGTTCGCCCAAAATCCAACAAAAAGGTGTTGGCCCGGGTTCCTCTACAGATGTTGTCCTGCGGATTGGACCAACTGAGCAACGGTCGGTGAGGGCGGAGTTGAAGGCCTTTACATCTCACGTGTGACCGTGTGGGCACAAATCAAGGAACAGCTGGCACCACTGAAGTGCAGGATGACAGTTTCACCTGCCACACCCAACCTCTGGCGAATTACCATTGGGCACCGGGACTCCTCTCTCTCTCCGACCCACTCCTCCATGCAGCCCTGAGTCGAAATTGAGCCGGCCCAAGGATTCAGCATTGGACCGTGCAACCGGCTCTTTTCCCAGGCGAAAGTTCAGAATCTCCAGGAAGCTCTCCTCGATATTTTTGAAGTAGTCAGTGACATGCGGGTTCCTGACAGGAGTGCAAAACCATCCAACACCAGACATGTTACAAAATGCACCCACTGAAAGCACTGAAAGCTGGCTCGGTAGCTGGTGAATTTCGGGGGAATCTGAGAATCTGTGAACAAGCATGATTTCAGGCAAGCTTGATTGAGACACCTGGAGAAAAGATCCACACAATGACAACCAAATGTTTAGAAAGTAATTCAAAACGAGAAAAGCAAAAATTACCCCTTTAAAAGCTGAAGGTTCTTGTCAAAGTTCCGCAAGGTGCACTGGTCCTCAGAACCATCCCACATCTCCACGAAGAGGTTTTCGATCTTAATCTTCTGGATCTTTGATTGTACCACGATCCGGATGGGGCACATGCATCGACCTTCCACCTGGATATCTCGCAGTGTCAAGTCCTCGATCGTGTAGTGATGTGCCTCGCGTTCGGTTTGGTGCGCGGCGAGCTTCAGCCGAGGGTTAGGTTTGGCAATGGCAGCTATACATGACCAACCATCAAATATGTGTGGTTTAAAAAACAAAACAAAAACAAATGAAAATGCAAAAAACAATGCAATTTGTTTTGTTGTTGCACGTTTTCTTGATGTGTTGTTTTCCTCGCACCATTTCTGCACTTATGAGAACTTTTACCTGTCAACGATATTCGCTGTGCGCTCTTAGGGAAAAAGCGAAACAAACAAACAAAAAAACAAACAGACAATTGTAAATGAAGCGGAAACAATAGCAGAAAAATAGAAAACAATTGGAAAAACACAACAACCACGCAAAACTACATGTTTTGTTTGCTTAATTTGTGTTGCTGTTTTTGTTCTAAATATGTCATTTGGGTTCCTTGTTTCATCTTGTTTCTATGGCTGCCGTGCCGGGCATAAGCCAAGGGTGTGAACACACACTTCGGCCCAGTCTCTTGAACCCCCGTTGGTCGTTCTCGGTCACTTTGTGAAGTCTCACCTTCTTTTGAACCCCTGAGATGAACCCATCAAAGTTCATATCAACCTGAGGAAATGAGCAGGAGCATGGGGAATCCTCATCTTCCCAACGCATTGCTTGAGACTTCAAGAGAAGGTTTATTTTGCAAAAAGGAAACAGCGGCACTACTGCGCCCCAAACAGCTAGCCTCATGCTTGTCACTGTCCACGATCAAGTCAGCCCCACAAATGATGGCGCAATTGCTGGCCCCGCGGAATCGAGACAAGTCATGGATCACCTGGCCAGGATGGTGGGTGGGTGCGGGTGAGTGGGTGGTTCCAGAGCTTTGAAAGGGAAACCAATGGCACCATAGCCTACACCATCATTCTCACCCATGGCCACCGTTGAGGCCATAGTGGGATAGTGAATGAAGTATTGTGCTCGGCACAATCACATGTCACCGGAGAATATCGTGTCATGGTGGATTGTTCCAGCAAGTTTGGTCTTTCTGCAGGTTGTTTGCTTTTGTGGATGTTGAATGAATCGAAAAAGTTTTGGTTGATATTTGATGTGACATGCGAGAACTATGTCGCCAAGACCAAATCTAAAGTTCAAACATGTCAAAATACACAAAAATCTGACAGCCCAGCTCACTACAAAACCCCCACCACCGGCCAGACCTGAATCTTCTCGCAAAGAACCCGCGCCAGATTCCGCGGCTTCCAGCCAAACTGAACTAGGCCGCCATTGCCTTGGAACCAGCCTGGGCACGCGGCCATTCCCTCAACATCTTTCCGGGTATGTCTTTGCATGGTTGGGGAAGCCTACCCACAGTTCAGTGTTAAAATTTCCTCATGTCCCATCATTGAACCAAATGCTTCGGAAAATGAAGACTTCTTCAAACCTTCTCGGCCTGGGTACCAAACCTTCACCCGAACCTGTGCGATGATTTGAACATCCATCTCTCTCCCAGCGGGAGACCGCCGGAAACCGGTTTGCCACGCGGCAAGTGATGTTTCGCACCGTCACGTCACTCCAGTAGAGTTTGATACCTGTGCGGCTCGTCCGGCTCTTCCAGTTGCGGGGGATTTCCAGGATGGGTAAACGACGATTTCGGCCCAGAAACGATCAGTGGTCGCAAGTTGAGCCGAACCAACGGCAACCCAAATTCTGCCACCACCCAAATGTTCGTAACAACGGCAACCTACAACGGCACCAATCTCCAAATGCGCATAACAAATACCAACAATCTACAAGACCGAAAATACCCAATCCATCCCAATCCAAATTCCAAATATATACAACAATCATAACCAACACCCAAATGTCCAAATCTAGGCAACAACAACACCAACGCCCAACAATACCAACGCTCAAACGCGCCCCGACAAACACACCGCACAACGTCACGAACCATGACCAGGTATTCTAGTGCGGTGTGTTGCTCAGTGATTCATACGTAGCACCTTACCTTCAGCTTTAGAATTTGGAAAGTCTGTAGGATGTTGTATGCCGTGCTGTCTTCTGGACATGAGCAACACGGATTGCAAGAAAGGGCCTACTTGGCCTCTTTGTGGGAAGAGGAGATGGGGTCCCTTTTGGTTTCAACTACTGGCTGGCACTGGCTGGTTGGCTCACTTCAGGTCATACTGACTTGGCCTGTTGACCCGCCTGTTGGCATATGATGCAAAACAGAAAACAAACAAATAATCCAAAACAAGGGAATGAACCAAATATTAGCCAACCAAAAACAAGACCAGCACGCCACCTGCTCATGCTTCGTTGGTCGACACTCAAGGGTTCTGTTCTAACCAGAACTCCATGTCCATTCCACTCTGTTCCCCGATGCAGGTATGGTGCAGTCATCGCCGCTCTGGAAGAAGGAATGCTCCAGGCAAGAGAAACTAGGTACTTCCAAACCATCGGTCTGAAAGTACCAAGTTCCCACCATGTGATACTGGTTCACCTGTGGGGCGCACCAAAGAAAAGAACGACGGAGGAACTTCAAGCGCACATTTCGTTACAGACACGGGGTGGACCTGACGCTATTCAAATAGGTGAAATTAAAGTTTAAAGGCTTTCTTCGCCCGACGTCCATCTTGATTTTGATATGAACCAGAACCAGGTCCCCTTCACAAACTCCCTGACACCATCATGGGAATTGGCTTCGTTTGGGAGCTGACGCACGCACAGCGAACCTTCTGTTCGGAATTTAAACGCTGCAAAACCAGCTTCAGCATGTTTCAGCACCAGCCCCTCCTCAGGTCCAAGCTCTTTCGCCTGCTCTTTTTTCACGGAAGCAAACTGTTAAGTTTCGGCACGAGCAACATGCAAACCATTGGAATCACAATCCATTGCACAACACCCCAAGCTAAAGATCGCACAACTTCCACTTGGCCAGTCTTCGCTCCAGACTCAAGCAACAATCGCAAAATTTCCAAGTGGCCGTTCTGGGACCCAACATGCCAACATGTCCACCCGTCTGTCGTTTCTGCATCCTTGTCAGCTCCAACCTCGAGCAACAACCGCACAATTTCCAGATAGCCGTTCTGGGCTGCAATGTGCAAACACGTCAACCCGTTTGTCATTGCTGCATCCTTGTCAGCTCCATCCTCGAGTAGCAACCGCGCAATTTCCAGATAGCCGTTCTGGGCTGCAATGTGCAAACATGTCCCTCCCTTTGTCATTGCTGCATCCTTGTCAGCTCCAACCTTGAGCAGCAATCGCGCAACTTCCAAGTGGCCGTGGAGGGCGGCAATGTGCGTGTCTCTCCAAGGGCCGTTGCAGCATCTTTGTCAGCTCCGGCCTCGAGCAACAATCGCACAACTTCCAGGTAGCCATTCTGGGCTGCAATGTAGATGGGCGTCGACCCATTTGTCATTGCTGCGTCCTTGTCAACTCCAGCCTCGAGCAACAATCGAACAACTTCCAAGTAGCCACGGAACGCGGCGAAACACAAAGCTGTTGCACCATGGAAGTTACCATTCAAGTTGCCATTCAGCCACGTTACAGCATGTCTATCGGCGCCTGCAGTCAGCAAAGATTCCGCCACTTTCACGTGGCCCTCAAGACTCGCCAGGTGCAGAGCCGTATTCCCGCCTAATGATGCCACATGCGTGTCAGCTCTGGCCTGGAGCAATTCCTGCCCCACCTCCAGGTGTCCATTGTAACTTGCCATGTGCAAAGCTGTTGCGTTGTGCGATGCAACAGCATTCTTGTCAGCTCCCACTGTGAGCAACTCTCGCACGATCTCAGGGCACCCTCCGCAGCTTGCAAAGTGCAATGCTGTTCTGTTTCGTTCTGCCACGGCATCCTTGTCAGCTCCAGCTTCTATGAGCAACCGTACGAGTTCCAAGTGACCATTCTCAGCTGCGGCACATAGCCGTGTTCTGTTGCTCGCTGGATCTAGCGTGTCTGGGTTGTGGGGCAAACACAGTGTGTTCTCCACATCAGTTAGCCGTCCCTCTCCACACGCTGAAACGAAGACTTGGTTTCGCTCAACGTCGCCCTGCTGGAAGCCCAGTTTGAGTAGTAGTAGACTGTTGCATTCCAAGGGCCACTCCTCAAGCACCTCACCATTTTCTGTGAACAGTCTTTGGCGAAACCTTGGAACTCCTAGCTGTTGTGCAAGGTGATTTTTCAGTGCCCTAATGGGCCTGTTGCTTTGAAAGATTTGGTGCAACTCGTCCTCGTGAACTTGAAGCGCTGTTGACGCTGACAATGATCGAATGATGAGCATTGATCTGGCTATCGGGCTTTCACCCACACTGTGGGGATGTTCATGCAGAATTTCCTTCTATTTAAGAAAGGCTTCAAAATCAAGATGCCAACACCTTCTCTTTCCTGCAGCTTGTAATGGCATTTAGAGCTGCATGTCTTTTGTGTGCATGATTCAGCTACACCTAGGTAGGGAGGCTCTGCTACAGCGTCTCTGGATCCTCAACACGGCCGGCCACGAGAGGCGAGTCACGTCGAAACCGTCTGAACCGGTTCGAAGCGTCCGACGTGTTTGTGGTGGTCCTCGAAGCTGCTTGGGTCTATGATCGGTCTATGCGAGTTGTTCGGTATGTGGCAGTGGCAGTTCCTCCAAGCTTTCATATGCTTTCTTGAACCACAAGACGTCTACTTGCAACTGCGTGGGTGTCACCAACCAACAGGTTGCGCCTGGGTGGCGAACTTGGCGTCCTTTGAATCCAGCGTCCCGTAGACCGTGAAGGTGTGGAATTGCGGATTCGTGAGAGTGATCCCTTGCACCTGCGCCCGATGTTGAGATCGACGTCGGGGTCGCGGCGGGGCCCACAAAGTCCAACCTAATGGCTTCTTGTTCCGTTTGTAGCGATGCCCTTTGCTCCTAGTAGCTTCTTGTTAGTAGGGCCAGGAGCCCCCAGCGTCCTTGCTCCTAGCTCCTAGTAGCGATGCCAGGAGCCCCGAACGTAGCTTCTTGTTCCTTCCCGGCTCTTCATGGCTAAACAAATGGCTGACAAGTGCTCCAGTTCATCCACATGTCTCTCAGTACTGGGCGGGCCGGCCACCAATGTTGCCCAAGTAACTCTGCTTTACAAAGTCTCTTCCATACTTATCATGCTCAGTTCTCTCATAAGGTGAACCTCAGGAACATAGTAGTTCCTTGCTGCTAAGAGAAATCTCCGCGAGAAAACGTCGTCACAGTTTTTGCTGCGACTTTCCCTGCCACTGCAGGGATTGCAGGGTCTCCACAGGAATCACAGACATCACCAAGCTGGTGGATGCTGGGATCCTACCCGACACGACACGACTCGACCAGAGTCCCCACCTCCAGAGACTGCCTGAGACCGACATCCATCAGTTGGACGGTTGGAAGCGGCCAAATGATTGGTTGTGACAGGTAAAAGTGAGCTACCCAGACCTTCCCAGGTAGAATGGAATGTGGGCCATAGAACAATAGGCAGACCACAGGAGGAATACAGAAAACAGTTGAGTGAGAAGTCGGCAATGTCCAAGCTTTTCCCTCCTTCCAATTCGAACCACTGCTCCCAACTCTTTTTCCTAACTGTTTTTTTGTATATAGTGTATATGTCAATGTCTATTATATATATATTATGTGTTTATAACTATATGTGAAATTATACAAATAAGAAGAAAAAGAACCAACACGGCCGGGTGGCTCCATATCGGCGGGTGACCAGAACTCCAGCATCTTCAGACATCTGCCCTCATAAGCGCCCCCGGGCAGGTCAGCTGGCCGCGTCCGGTAGCCATTCTCCTCGTTCGACGAACAGCGTCGAGTCACACGGAGAGTCGCTGGGGCCCGGAACCGGAAAATGGAAGCCTCCGAAGAAGACCAGATTCATCTTCTGATGGTCGTCAAACCGTTTTTTTAACGAGCATGTTAGTCTGTGCAAAGATAAACTCACCCAAAAACCAAAGAAGAAGACAAAGACATCCGCGTTGTGGTGAAAAAGGGTCCTGCTCAGAACAGAACCCGCCGTAAACCAGCCCGCCTCAGGTAGGCGCCGCCCCGAAGCAGTTGTCCCACCCAAAAAGCCCTCTCCTTGTCGCATTCATAGACGTACTTCTCACCCGAAAGGGTGCCAGCTCCAGTGACTCTGAGGTGATTGGGCGTCTTACCCGTCTCCCCACGAAACTGGAAGGCGCCCTTCCTGGATCGCTGCATGGATCGCAACATGGGTGCCAAGTTAGCAAGAACACACGCCATCCGCACCGAAAAAGTTGAGTCTTGGGATCCCCCAAAACGGCCCAAAACCTTTTGAAAAAAAGAAAGCACAGCTCCATGATGTATCACCAGCATGGGCAGAAAGCATTGGCGGTGCCCTTGCTCGAAAACAGAAGAAATCCAGGTCGGTTCATATCAAGGCTAACCCTCCAACCTCCCTTCACAAGGGACGCGTCCGCACCGCGGTCGCTCTTGCCGGGCCAGTTTGCTGGGGATGCCAAAGCAGGGGGCGAGTTTGTTCAATCCATGACAGTGATGGATGTTGCTATTGGATCCTTGGAGAACTGGTCTATGACCTGTAGGACCTAGACGTTCCCTGGTGAGTGAGACTTAGAGCCTCTTTTGTTGGCCTTTTTGGCTGCCTGTTGGTCCCAGGCACACGTAGGAGCCCGGGGCCAAATAGATCCATTCCACTTGATTCGGCAGGTAGGCGTGATAGTTCCAGGCCATCGCATAGATTCCTAACGAAGCGGCAAGTGTTTCATCACAGGCTGAATGAACCCATCGCCCGAAAAGCTTTGCCAAAAAACGTTTAGCAGCATGAAGAAGGAGTTCATTTATAATCATGGTAACGAATCTCAAGAGCAACGACACAGTCCTCCGACCTGCCTACTGAACCGTCTGCACAACCCCTGGCCTGGTCGGAAGTAGATGATGGGCTGTGTGACCTGGTCCAGATTCAAAGGGAAGTCCCGCTCAGGATCCACGTAGTAGACCTTCTCCTTCAACTCCTTCGAAATCAATGAGCAAACCTACTCCAAAAGTACATAGTAGTCCTGACCCACACACGCCTGCACAGTGATTCATGGGCAACCCATGCTGGAGACTACCAGGGTTGAAACAAATTGAACACCAAACTTCCAGGTCTCATCCACTCGGACCGGACTCCGTGAGTCGCGTCTGACACCGTCCAAACCACGTCGCGCGTCGCGGCGTCGACGGAAGGCGGTCTCCGTGCCGAGGTCCTCCGGTGAATACAGGTCCTCCGGCCTGATCTGCTTCGCGATCGGCTCCACAAAGCATACCTGACATGAATTCCGGGCGCGCAGAAAATCATGGGAGGCCCCAAGAGTCAGGGGAAAAGGCCGTGGGAAGAATGATCGTGCTTCCCAAAAGCGCCCCGTGAAGCACCGGTGGATGGTCGTCACCGCATTGACCAGACATCGCGTTCAGATGTCTTGCGATCGGAAAGACCCACGAGACTCCCCACCAAGCCATGGCACCAAGCCATTCCTTGGCAGCTGCGAGATCTCTTTCTCGTGATACTTGAAACTGAAGATTTCCTCAGTCTTTTCCACAGGCACGGGAAGCCTGGGCTTTCTACACCCCAGAAGAACCAGCACGGCTCAAACTCCTCTTTGTGTTGCTGCATTACCTACATGCGAGGCTTTGGTCTATCATCTGAGTCAATGGAGCAACAGGTGGGGTGGATGTTTTTGTTGGAGTTTGTCAGCATGCAAGTATATAGGTAATATATGTATATATATATATATATTATATATACTGTGATCCCAACCTGAAAGGGTCAAATTCAGGGTTACGTCGAATTCAGTGGAAGCTCCTCATCTCGCCAGGAGCGGCTGAAAAGGCCGTGGGTTCCCACCGCGAGCTACGCGCCCGCGCTCGCATCACAAGCTCGAGCTGCCCATGCAAACTCCAGCGAAAAGCGGAAGCCGTCTGGAGAGTAGGGGATCTTGAACTGAAACTTGTTTCTTCCAGCCGTCCTGGACTCGGGGCATTGTTTGAGTGATCTTGGAAGGTTGCTCCAGTTGGAGGAAGGTGGTGAAAGAATATGAAACAATGAAATCTGAGGAAAGCCGTAGATGTCAAAAGGAGGAAAAGAGAAACTGGACAAGGAAATCACCATAGATCCTCATGGATCGTCTAGGTCTTTCACATTGGCTTGCTCTGTGTGGAGAGGCACCACCTTCCCTCAGACGAGGTGACCAGCTCACCACTGGTGCGAACTGGGTGTTTGCCCCTCAGGAGATAAGAAGGCCCATCTCTCTTCAACCGTGTCAGAGGAATTTGGGACCACTAAGGGAAAATTGATTGAAATATATAAGAACGCACACCACCTCACCTGTGCAACTCCGGCTTTCAAAGGCTGGACTGGAAAAACTGGCAGACAGCATGGTGGTTTGCCTCTGCAGAGTTGAACTAGCTACAGTACTAGTTTCCTTCTGTTCTTTTCATTTTTCTTTGTTTCCTAATAGCGATGGCCTCCAGCCTTCTAGCGATGGCCTGGTGTATCCCAGTGGTGATAAATCCAAGTGGATAGGACCACCCCCGACATCACCCAACCGCCAGCGGCTGCTCAACCACACCCAGTGTGAGCCTGATTGTCCAGTAGCCGCTTGGAGCAGTCTGAACGATGCTCCTCGGGCGGATCGTCACCTGCACATCGCTTGGATCGGCCGCGGATCATTCAGTTCGAGCCACACCTGTGTCCCATTTCGACTTGCCCATCCGGTTTTCAAGCTGGTCAAGCTCCATCCCGGGTGGCGCCTTATGGGATGTAGTTCACAAGTCTACAAGTGCTTAACCCCAAGATGGCCTCAAGTCAAGGGTATTTCCCACAGCGGAAAGAGACTGTGGACCCTTCCACTGTAGGGCGAAGGCTTTTTCCGCAAAATACCCTAAGAACTTGCACACTCGGAGCCTGGGAAGATCGCACTCCTGTGAGCAAAAGATACACAACCACTGGAACTGAGATGCGGTCGGGATCTCAAGATATGCAAAGGAGGCCCACACATCCCCACACCTTCAGATCAGTTTCCGGTGGGTGGCTACCATGGCTTCAACTCATTCGTCAAGTAAGAACCTCGTCCAAACGTTCTCCACCTCGTGAGGTTTGTTTTTGGAAAAAAAAAACGTTGATCCCTGATACGTCCTCCTCTATGTCTTTCCCACATGGTTTTTTGTGGCTCTGCCTGATCCTCAAAGTTCCCATGATCCACGTCATCTTGGATGGTCACCTCCAACCAAATGTCGCTGGAATAGAGACAGTGAGTCCAGCTACCTGTCGGTCGTCGTGCGCGCTGGTCGTCGTGCCATCGCACCATCGCAAGGACCCAAGAGGAACCAAAAGGAACACATCGACCACAGGAGGATGAATTTTCTGCACAGATTTCAAAGTCAACAGACCCCAATAGAATCATGCAGAATCCAGGTGTCCGACGAGGCAAACACTCCCTGAAGTAGCGGAAATCCAAAAACTGGGTGCTGTTCAAACAGCCACAGAAAAGGTGCTTTCCGTTGTTCGAAGGGAGGGGTTCCTGGCCTTACTACTAGGAGCAAGGACGCTACTAGGGGCTCCTGAACAGTTTGTCCAATCGATGGCACGGTGCGGCCATGATGGGTGTCCAACCAAAGCCATCGATTGGACAAACTGTTCAGGAGCCCCTAGTAGCATCCTTGCCACTAGTAGTAAGGCCAGGAGCCCCTAGTAGCGTCCCTCGCCCTTTTGTCTGATTGACATTGAGATTAAAGCTAAAAGCTCGCCAAGCAACAAGTGCAGGCTTCCTGATCAAACCAGTCTGCTCCATCATCTTTCGAGTAGCCCCACTTCTGGCGTCCCATGCGTGGCCAAGAGAAATAGACGAAGGATCTTTGCTTGTTTTGGCCCTCGACCCAAGCACAAATGTCGTAGAGAGGGGAGCGGACCACGAGCTTATCCTGCCAACCCACCGACCCGGTCGGAGAACCTCCACCGATCGATTCAAGGTTCGAGGTGGAACGCTCCCATGGATGATCAGCTTTGCACCCTTAAGACTCTCTTCAGGATGCTTTATCGCCGATTGAATCCTTCTTGGAAGCATGTTGATTCTGTGGTCATTCTCCTGAACAATCTCTATTCAGAGCCCGCCCTGCCACAGCACATGATAAACGTTTGCAAGGTAAGAACCATGAAGCCAATGATTGGCTTGGGTGAGCAGTTGAGGGTATCTGCGTCTACAGAACAGGACAGGTAAAGACATACAGTATAGGTCTAAGAATCCCCAGCAAAACTCCCATGTCGATCCCCATACAAATTGACAAAACGAATAGGAGAAGGAGAAGGAGGACGAGGACGGACGAGGAGGAGGAGGAGAAGGAAAAAAAGGAAAAACGTTGTGCAGCTTCCAATCTTCTCCTCGTCTTCGCCTTTCAGCTCCCTTTTCTCCAAAATATGTTTGTCATGCCACCAGGTGATACAGCTCTCAGCTGCTTCCGCCATGCGGTGCGCCCGCGTGGCGGGGGTTCGACGCTGCTCCCGATCTGATCAGCTTGGCTCAGCTGCCGGGAGTCTCTCGGGCCAAAGCAGTGATCACGGAAGCTGGGACGTAGCAACGTTGAGAAGTGCTCGTGGATCACACTACCGACCAGTTGACCTACACCTCCCGTCGGTTGTTCGCGGCAAATGGTGGACCGGTCGGGCTCCAGGTGGGTCACCCATCCCCCAAGTGTTTCTTGCATCCACACTGGGCTGAATCCACACCCACAGCGCCCACAGCCAAGGGAGTGAGCTGTTCGCAACGTCAGATCGAGTACAGGTGGCCCTCCTTCCCTACACCCTGGAACCAGAAGTGCTTCTTTCAGTTCGTTCTTTCAGTTCAGGTTGCCTGTTCGTCTGAAGAACAAAGGACCATGCTTAGGTTGGTGGTCGTTCCTAGTGACTGGGAAACACCGGAGCAACTTTGACAGCAACTGAGTATTGAGACTTCGCATTGCTCAAGTGAACACCTGGATCGCAGGGTATACAGTATATAATCATCTGCCAAATCCCTTTGCGGGGTGTCATGTTCGTTTGAAAAAACATGTTTATAAAAAGCTCTGCACCCGTTTGCCATGGAACCCCCGCGACCCGGTAGATGGAAGATTTGCAGTTCATGACCCATTCCTGACCATCAGGTTTCTGGAAAAAGACACTGGGTGCCAATTTAGACGTTGCCATAACAAAAAAAATGGGGCAATCGCTAAGGAGACCCGTTGGGGCCGCGTGCAGCAGGGCTCCACGGAATCCCAGTAGTCCACCACCAATTCGCCTCGCGGAGCGGCGCGGACAGCAAAAAAGGGGTCTCTCCTTGAATGAGCGAACTTCCAAACTCTCCCTTTCCGAGGTGTCTGGTTTATAAAAGAAAAACCTGTGCCATCTGAAATCCCTCATGGATCACGGGGCCTGCCATCACCTGAAAGCACAGAGAGCGCCTCACCGTCCCACCACCACGCCTTGAAACCAGAGCTTCACGCTATCGTCGGCCTGGGGACGTAACCGGTCACTCTCCAAACCAGTCCCAAACCGGTCGGGACATTGATCCTCCAAGTGAAAAGAAGTGGTTGGGCGCAAAAGGAGTGCAGCACACTACTGCGCGGTGTGCAGAAAGTCATAGTCGGAAGGATGGGCAAGAAGAAGACATTGAAGAAACGTTTTGGGCACCAGGAGAATGCACCACCAGAAGCAGGAGAACACTGGCCAGTGTGCCAATGGTCACCAGCTAAGTTGTGTACGGGCTGAAGTCACGGTTCCTAGCTGCCACTAGCTGTTGTCTTCAAGCAGCCCTGGTGGTTCAAGTACAAGAAATTCAGGGTTATTGTTACAGTTATTGTTATTCAACTTTCTGGATGGCATCCTGAGATATCGGTCCACCAAATATCGGTCTTGCCTGATCTTCGCTGCATGTGTCTTGATTCTAGGGAACTATGTATAGAGGAGTGAAGAGGTGCGCTTCCATAGTCTTGAATCAACCACTACTTCCACAAAGAGATGCTCTTCCTCTCCATGCAAAGACCCCACCGAGCCTTGACATAGATCGTGTATTCGTTTGTGCTGGGCCCACGCAGAAAGCCGACCCACCTGGCCATCGGAAAAACCGCGACCTGAGCCTAGATGAAGAGCTGAGCTCCTTCTTTTCTTCTTTCAACAGTAGTAAGCCATAATCAGCCCCCTGTTGAGTGTGTCCTGCTCAGCCTGGACATCCAAGGTAGACGATGAAATCCTGCATTCACTCCAGGATTCACTCCAGGAGGTTCAAAGGGTTCTCCCTGCCAGGTACGTCAGCAGTCCAAGAACTCTTCGGTGCTGAAGCCACCCACCCTCCCATGATTGGCGTCCCCTCCAGTGGTGCCGAACTCGGCCACACCCATATGTAACCAATGTAGCTCTTTTTCATGCTCTTAGCGCCCAAATCGATCAAAAGACAAAATGAGAATTCAGACGACCAAGTCGGACCGGAACCCTTGCCATCTTGGTCCTTGCTCCCAACCATTGACCGCAGAACGTCACGCCTCGCGGTGATGTGGTCGCCCGCCAAGGCAGTGACCTCCTGCTGGCCCCACCTGCGCTCGACGGAGAAAGCGACGCACGGCTTGACTCAAAAAGGCACTCCAGTGGTGCCTGATGGTGCCTGGGTCCACGTCCGGCGGTGGAAGTAGTGTTTTCGTGTCCTTCTTGTTCTTTTCTTGTTGATCTCCTCCGGGTGTTCTTCTTGTTGATGCATTTCTTATACTCATGGATGCTGTTCTTGTTCTTTTCCTTCTGGTCTTCTTGTTCTGGCCGTTCTTGACGTGTTTGCTGAACCTCCGACGTGGTGAAACAAAGATGTCTTCCTTTGCTTGACTGCTTGGCAGAAGCATGCGAGCGCCGTGTGTCGGTGCCGCCCCCCTCTCCCCAGAGTGGTTGGTGTGTCTGTGCCGCGGGCAAGTGGCTGAAAGTTGATTTCGGAGTCCACACGCGACAGGACGGGCCTCGAGCCGGACGGGAAGGCAGGAGAGAGGATTGCTGGTGGATGAAATCGATGCACGACTCACAAAGGACTTGAAGGTGTTGCTTCCAACCATCGGAATGTCGGCTGGGGCATGACAACTCAGTCAGTGTGGGCGTGGATATCTTTACTTCCAAGTCAATCAGGTGGCATCAAAACAACTTGCGAACGCCATCAGCACTCCATCATTTTCTATTTCCAGTCAACCACAAATCATGATACGAGTAATCATGAACAGCCCAAACAACACTCTCGGTTACAAGCGGAGCGTAGACACCCCAGACTTTGGACAACAGTAAGGATGTCTTGCAGTCAAGAATCCCAAGAAGTTCCTTGTCTTTCTCCATAATGTATATCAAGAGGTTTTACAATTCAAATGTTATACTATTGATCGAGATTCTGCATTAGAACTAGACCTGAAACTTGTGAACGAGTTGTTAAACACAAAACCGAACCGCCCAAGGCCCCCCAGGCCCCTGGTCCCTACCAGTTGTCCATCTCCGACAAAGTTGCAAGCCATAGAACCAGTTGTTGTCCCAATACCTGGATGGCCAAGACTGATTAATTGGTCCAGTATCTGGTGGGAATGCAACTTGACCCCTAGTTCAGGTGGCATCTGGAGAAAACTGATACCTTTCACCTTTCAGAAACCCCTGCGGGTTTCAATACTCCGCCGCTCCATCGCTCCAGCTTCACCCACTAGATCTTTTGACTAATCAACTGCACGGGTGGCGAAACCATGGCGCGTCGCGGCGCAAAAAAGAGTCGCGCGGCGCTGTTTTTCGGCGCGCACTGGCCCCAGAGGCCTCGATCGGAGGAGCAAACACTGGGAGCCCAACAGCTTTTCCACAGGTCTATTCCTAGCTTCTAGGTTGGAAGCCACCGCTAGTAAGTTGCAAGCCATCGCTAGTAGGTTGGAGGCCATCGCAATTAGGTTGGAGGCCATCGCTATTAGGTTGAAGGCCATCGCTTCCAAGTTGGAGGCCATCATTATTAGGCTGGAGGCCATCGCTATGGCTATTATTACGTTCTTCTACACATAGTGACAGGAGCCTATTGCCCCTGTTTTATTTTGTTCAGGGGTTTATGGCTTAGTCGGCCAATCCACAATTCGGGAACGAAACCTGCGGCCTTGCTCTGCAGGGGTGCGGGGTTTTGGCAATCGGGTACAAACACCCCTGGAATGAAAGCAAGTAGACAACGAATGGCCCAGGGGCGTCTAGACATATGCATACTATATTGGTTTTGTCGTTGTTCCATATGTTTTTTGTCTTGTATCAACGCGCGTGGGTCCTGTGTCTTTTTATTCCAGAAAGCACCTGTGAAGGGTTCTCCTTCAAGAAAATTTGCTTCCTTGCTTCCATCCTTGCTTCCATCCTTGTTTCCTGCTTGCTTCCATCCTTGCTTCCTTCCTTGTTTCATTGCTTCCTTGCTTCCTTTGGAAGCTGCCTAGAAACGGGTTCCAACAACAAGCTCCAAAAGCATAGTCCAACAGTAAGGACTTTCAACATGGCGAGAACCCTGAAAGCATAGGCTTTCTTCTCTTTCTTGTCTTTTTTTGCCGACTTTGATTGGTCCAGTGGTCCAGTGACCTGGGCATCTTTTGGTTTCTTTTTGTTATTCCATGTTTTCCTTTTACCAGCGCGCCGTTTAGTAGAGAAAACCTCTACAAAAAGACATCTGTTGTTGACACAATGACTCTGCAAAATGTTGTCTACCCAAAAATTCTGCCTCTACACAACGAATGCGAAATAGATTTATAGATTGTCTACAAAATGAACCTTGTCCTTTTGGGTCGATTGAATCTAAAATCTCTACAAAATGACCCCGTGGACTACTCTCGAAAAAATGCTTCCAGCAAAATCTCTACAAAATACTATGGAAGACTCGACTCATATAGCCCAAATATCCCTACAAAATGCTATCATACTCTTTGAGATACATTCGCGACAAAATGATACTTCCACACTTGACTGAAAATCTCTACAAGGGCTCTTCATATTCTTGAGTCAAATCTCTACAAAACGCATTCTCTACAGAATGCTGTCGAAGACGCGGCTCGGATCTCTACAAAATGAGACCTTTGAGACCTTCAAATTTCCCGTGTTTACAAAACGGCGCGGACCTCTCTACAAAATGCTGGGCCTAACGTCATTATTTTGTCTACGAAATGCAAGGTCCGCGGGGTGCAGGTTGACCCTAAAAATCCACTCTCTACAAAATGACGTGGAAAGTAAACCGGGGTGTCATTTTGGAGAGCTCTCTACAAAATAAACTGAGCTCATTTTATAGAAGAAATCTAATCGAGGTTGAAATGGGAACTTTGTACTTTGTAGTACCAATGTAGTGTGGGAAGCAGCTTGGGAGCCGTGGCCTCAGAACTGGCTACTTTGTAGTACAAATTGCGGGGAGCAGCTTCCGGGAGCTGTGGCCTCAGAACTGGCGCAGATGTAGTACGGGAAGCACCTTCCGCGAGCTGTGGCCTCAGAATTGGCAACTTTGTAGTACTAATGTAGTATTGGAAGTAGCTTGCGGGAGCTGTGGCCTCAGAACTGGCAAGAGAGTTGCTGCCTCTGCCGCTCCGCCATGATTTTTCCGCGCGGTATTTGAGAGGTCAGGGGACGGGCGAAGTCACCGTCATGTCTCCTCCATTGCGCTGTGGTTGAAGGGGCGGCGGCGGCAGAATGTCGGCAAATACCGCGCGACAAAAATACGGCTCCGCCCCGCAAGTGTTTCCTCGCTGGCCATGTCAACCGGGAACAAGAAACACTATACCCTAGTCGTGAAGCAAGAGTAGATTCAAGCGACGCATAAGGGCTGGAAGGTAGAAGTGATGAGTTGTCAGGCTCAGTTGAAATTACTGGAACGTAGCGCTATGACAAATCTTTCGAAAATGAGGGGCGCTTGGCTGTGGCCCTGTTTGCAGCTACTGCATCACCAAAATCTCTGGGCCATCCCGGCCGTTCGGAAAGATGGTGTAGACCATGAGGGAGTAGATCCCGGTCTTGTCGCCCGTGTAGGTCAAGCCTTCAGCAAAAACGTCCGCGCGCCAGTCGTGGAGGCTGTCGAATGCACCCAGGGTGGCAAAAAGGTGCCTAACGTAACAGGGAGGTAGGACAGGTAGGACCACGTGCCAACCTCCCACAACCACAACTGGCCTCATCAGATTTTGATCTGCCCTCAAATGGCTGTTGAAAGGCCAAACTCCCACCTTTTTGCCAGCCGACCCACCTCGCGAGTCTATGGAACTCGAGCCTTCGAAGGTTGGAGGTTTGAATCCCACCGGTACCTCTTCGCTGGAAAATATCTGCCTTCATCTGCCTTCCTAAAAGTGGAATTCTTCAGGGTAGAGATGGGTAGTGAATGAAAAACAAAATTGATCAAAGTCCCTTGTCTTTCTTCCTTCAATTGTCTTTTGGTTAAGTGAAGAGACTTCAGAAGAAAGGGCTGAACTCTGTCTGCTCCAAACACCCTTGTCAGGACCCCAATTTGTTTTGTGGCCTACGGCATGGGCGGATCTCCCTCACTCGAGCAATTCTCAGAACGGACGACTCACCATCAACCTGCGTCCGCAAACCAATTCGACCCTACGATTGGTGAACCTGATATCCACACACCAAACTCAGCCTGCCACATGTGTACACATGTGCCATGGTCAAAACTCATATGGAGATTGTATGAACCTTCATGAAAATTCCCATTCAAGTGGATGACCATCCGACCATCCCTCTTTAGCCCATCCAACCAAGCACTCCCTTCGACGTCTTCGGCACGTGAGTCGGTCCGTGGCCCCACCCCGTCGGCACCGAGGGGTGGCTGGAGGTGGTGGGTGTCGTGGGAAGCACCGGTCAGACCGGTGGCGACTCTGGGCTTCCCCAACTATAAGTGCCATCCCCATTGGCATGGGAGACATGGCAGCAATCTGGAGGCCTCTCACCGGCGGATGCGGACATGGCAGCCATGGAGGAAAGGACTCCGCTCAGTCTGCTGGGACACCTGGTTCGTTCTCCCCATTGGATGCAGCGACCTTTCAGCAACGGCCAGGGAAAGGGAGCGTCCGAGCTCCGACAGCTCCGACCTTGCACCAAAAAGCATCAGCGACGTCTGTTCATTCGCCCCCTGTTGCTGGTGAATGGAACAGCTACAACAGCACTAGGAGACACCCAAGCTTGCCTCATTCCTGAAGCACTGCCATTCAATAAAATCAGTAGATGCACAAGTCTATCCGAGTCTATCCAGTGTACCTGCGATTTCAACATGAAAATCCAACGGACTAGGATCCCTGCTTGCATGAGTGTACCCACCGTTGTGGTATGACTACGCCAGGCAGTGCCAGCCAGTTGTGCTATCACAAACGCTTCTGAGTCCCTCAACCATGTTACAAGCGACATGTCTTGCACCATTTCAGAAGAAGGAAGAAGCACTCCAAACTGCAAACTCATTGTTCAACTCAATTTATCAATCCAGATCTTCGCACAACCCCTTCCGAAAACGAACCAACAAAAAAGAAACGCCCCCCCATGTTCAGCGTCCTCGTCTCAGGACGCACCCAACCCGCCACCTCGCCCGTTGCCCCGCCACCGCTCCTCTTCACCCGTTGCCGGTGGTCCTGCACTCCGCAGCGGTCGTGCCGACTGGCAGTTTTTTGGGGGATGGCGTTCCAAACGAAGCAGCCTTGGAGAGGAACAAAATACAAACAGTGATGTTTTGCGTAAGATCTTTGTATAACTGCAAATGATCGAGCAGAAAGCCAGATGTCTGGTCGCCTACCTCACTAGTCCAACCATTCTCCAGAAAGCTTTGTTATGAAAAAAGTAATTCCCAAGAGGTCTTTAAAAAGAAATGCCCTTTGGCCGATGGCTTCACCCCGCCACGCCCATGGCTTGACCACGCAGAGCCGGCTCTGCGCCTGATAGTCGGGATGGTGCTCCGGCACAGGAAGGCAAAGGGAGCGCATCACATTCAGCTCGCAGGCCTCACTCAGCTAGTGGCTCGACATGAAGGCTGAAGGCTTGGTCCCGCTCTCTGTGCCTTTTGTTCATCCGTGCCTGGAAGTGGTCATGGAATGTGATTGATAGATCAGCAATGAGCCAATGAGCCCTGCTAAAACAGTAGTCTGGTGACCATTTTGGTGCGCAGGGTGCCTGCCTGATTCCCTTTTTGATCCAAAAAGAGACAACCACCCACTTCTGGTGCTTCTTTCGATCAGATCAGGGCCATTGAACTGAATCGTTCTTCATCCATGCCGAGCTGCAAAAGAACGTGTGAGGCGGCACCCACCAGGTTGATGTGCTCAGGCCCCCGGGCATCATAAATGGCCGCCAAATAGTTCCTGTGCGTGCTGCCCTCCTGAAGAAGGAGCCAAGGCACCGAAGATACAACGAGTTCTCTTGAGAAGGGCAAAAACAACGGCGAGACATTGATCTTTTGTACGGCCCCACCCAGGAACATCCTGGAACTCGAAGCGACGCTGAAACAGGGGATTGCTATAATGCAGAGTTAAACCGAGCCCACACAGGTCGAAACACGGAGCCTTGGCACTCCACTACTTCAAGAATCAGAACACACCTACACAACCAAGCAACACGTCCGACCAATACAACAAGAAGGTATCCGAAAAAACGATCCAGTTGTCTCCATGGACCATTCATCGGAAAAGAGAAACCTGCTAACGTCCAGCATTTCTCACAAAATGACATATAGTTGTTTTCTACGTGGCTTCATTGAAGAGCATCCATCTCCTCCAGTTGCTCGGTCACTGGGTTCTTCGCACGGATCACCAATTCTGTCCTCAATCCGCTCGGAGCGCGCTCCGACGGGTTTTGGGATGTCTTGGGCCGAGACCGTGGCATTCCACTGTGGCCGCGTTTCCTGTGCTTTCCCTGTGGTCTTTTTGGTGTGCTTTTAGTGTGTATGTGTAAGTGAGGGATCTGGGTTCGACGACTGGGATCGTCCAATGTTCCAATGTTCGGCTTCCCAGAGGTTGCCTGGTTTCGCGGATTCGAGGTCTTTTTCGGAAGTTCAATCCATCTTCGGGGAAGTCAAGGGATTCAATTCCACCTCATGAATCCTGACATCAACTCATATGGATCAAGAGCCTTGCTACACTCTCCCACTGTGAGCATCCAAACCTGCAGGCGGAGGAAGTGACTTGACCGACTTGACCGACAGTCTGGTGTCCCACTGTCGGCACGTCCACGTGCCGAGTGCCTGGGCTGCCCCAACCCGATATCCGCCACGATGGCATCGGGGATGGTCTCATTGGGAATGGAAGGATCTGTGGAGAGCGGGTAAAAGAAGGTCTTCCTGGGCCGGTCGAGTTGCATGTGGCTCGGAAACCAGGTTCTTCCATGTGGAAACCCCCGCATGTGGCAACCCTTTGAGTCGTTGAGACCGTATGAAAAATGGGGATTCTGAAAGAACTTCTTTTGCTGATGTGTCAGATCTGGAGTTGCCTCCAAACTGACCAACTCACTAGCCACAAGCTGCTCTGAGGTCTAGAACATGAGCTGGATGAGCGTTGGTGCGGGGATGTTGGGCAGCAACATATGCCGCATGTTGTTTGGCGTTTGTTGACCGAGATGGCCAAAGAGGTTCGGTCCACTCCACTCGGCGTCCCGGTCCTCACCCGGTCTGACACCAACGTCGGCCCCGGTCCAGTCCAACACCCCGATTGACCACCGTGCGATGAATCATTCGCTTCCCTCAAACGGTGAGGAGAACCGAGAACCGATGGACTGACGAAAAAAGTCATAATCCTTCCAAGAGAAGGGCCATCACCTCCCAACAAAAGTCTGAAGCTTAGGATATCTCAAAACAAGTAGCATGATGCAACAATACACTTCCCAACCAGAATAGTGCTGAAAGCTCCCGGAAACTGATAGTTTCTCTTCTGGCACTCCTTTACCACTACCGGCCGAGCCGCTCCAAGGGCACTGCCACCGTGTAGGCCTGGCTCCGTGCCAAGAACGTCGAAGAAAAAAACAAAAACATACGGTATGTATGTGTAGATATATATATATATATGTGCTGCGTGGTGGCAATTTGGGACGTCTAAACAAAAGCCATGGAGCGTTGATGAGTCGAGTCGATTTTCGCGATTCCTTCAGGACTCTGAGGCCGTGAAGACATGCTTGAAACTAAAATCGCTCAAGCCAAAGCCTACGTACAACTTCCAATGTCGTTTGCCCACATTCTGCTCATCCCCGCCGTCGAGATCGGCTTGCTCCGACCAATGGCATTGATGGCGTACCTGGCTGACAGCCAAAATGCTGCGGATGTGCTGGTTTAAGGAGATCTGGAAAGGAGATCACCTGTTTCGCTGGTGAGGGTGGATCCTTCCCTTGAGTGGAACCGAACTCACGGGTGGAATTTGACCGTCCTTTTCTTCGGCCCCAACCTCTGCAGTTTTCTTCGCACCGGTCCCTGCATCTCGTTCTCCGTTCTCCGGCGCATTCGGCGCACACGTTGTAGAAGTAGGTGGTGCCATAGGACAAGTTCTGCAGGACCAAACTGGGCCAGGCAAGTTCTGAGGATTGAACCCAAGACACAGCAAAGAAACTAAAAAGCAAAAAGGCGATGCCTATACGAATCAGAACATTCCTTCAACCTGCTTCGAGCTTGCTTCCTTTTCCCTCGGCTTCACTGCAAGCCCTAAGGGCTACCCATCGGAGCTCAGGGCGTCGCTGCTTCACCATGGGATCCTGTGAGCCATCGTAGATCAAGTTCCATCCAGGCGCCGTGTTGGTCTCCTCGGGCGGAAGGACGTCTAACAACAAACGTTGTCACCGTCGTTTCTTTGGTTTTTAGAGTGGAAAACCACCCTGTGCGCCACCCCCAAGAATCAAAAAAATATACTTATCATATACCTTCCACCATGATGTTTTTTCATGGAGAAGTTTCACCACTGCAACTGGACTGTTCAGTTTCTTCTTTCAGCCACGATGTTCAGTCCAAACGGCAGCCACCAGGGAAATACAGGAACCACCCGTTGCGCGGTTATTATGATATTATGGAAACATACCCCAGCCGTGTTGGGCGCATGACAATCGGCCCAAAAGAGAAAGGCTGCAGAAACATCCATGTGGTTCTGTTGTGAGTTGTGAAGCAACTCCGTGTACTGCATCTCCCTGCCAAACCAGGAAACCGAGAAAATGAAAAAGGCAACTCGCACTGAGGTTGTCCGCCTGCCCCCCACCATTTTGGCCAAAAACACTCCCCTTTCATGTCCTCCTGTTGGGGCTCCATGCCATTTCAACCTGGTAGCCCAGGATGGAGCTTCCTCCCGTCATAGGCTCCTGGCGGCCGCTAGAAGGCGTCAAGGAAGATCCAATGAAATTCCAGTATAGGATGGGTATTCATGAAAATCCGTTCATCCAATATCTTATCTACTGAAGTATCTAGCGAAATCCAATTGGTATCGCTTCAGAACCGGGGGGGCCTAACCCACCGCTCAGTCCATCCCTTCCCCAAAAAAACCGGGCTCTCTCCACGCCACTCTCCTCGGTCCTCCCAAGATAACCTCATCACAATGGATCCTAGGGAGGTCGTCTCGGGAATCGCCTTAGGGCACAGCCGTCCCCCGCCGTCCCCCGCCAAGGTTCGCGAAGTCGATCTTCGGTTCGACCAGCGACTTCGTTCGAAAGACACCTCTTACTCCGGGTCTTTTGGAGGTGTTACTGAGATGTTCCTAGATCTGGCAAGTGGAGGAACTTGTCAGCTTCACGTGTCACTACATCTTCTTTTTCGTTCGGACTGTGGGTGCTTGGAGGATCCTGCCGGATTCAAGGAGTCATTGATGCCGAAGGTTACCACGTCGATGTGAACTCGCCATCTGAAACAGTCTGCAGAATAAACACTTAGTGCCCATCATTCAGATGGATAATGGATACAGTAATGTAGTAATGTATATAGATTCCATTGTCAATTGAGGATAGCTCCCCAGGAGTGTGAGCACAACACGGCCTCATCCGGGAGTCCACGCCCAAAAATCGATAATCCCAGGGAAAGGATTTGCCTATTCCATCACTCTACGGCTCAGCTCCACAAGGCCAGGTGGCCAGTTGCCAGTCTGGCAAGCCCGCGGTGACGAAGGTGATGGGCCGAGAGCCTCGTTTCGCCACACGCTGAGCGGAGGAAGCTTACCGTGCTTACAGCTGGAGGCTCAGGGCAATGGGAGTTGCTGGAATCTTTTGGTCTCAGCCTCCTTGGAAATGGCAAAACGTGCATGTGTGCTGGCGAGAAGAGGTTTGCTTTTGGAGGTCATTGCTCACATTTGTACAGGCCGGACACAAACATCCGACCAAACTCTTCAAGCTTTCCTCCCTTGGACAAACCCATGGTTTGGGGGAAGCCAACCAATTGCACCGAAATCAGCTGATATATTATATGACTAGGCGAGATATATACGTCCAAAAACTAGAGGTACTCTCACCCAAACCGGCAGTCCCGTCAGCTCCAGGTACTTTCTGCGCTGCAGATTTGGACCCTGTTTCTCACGCAGTGATGCAACCTCCAAGTGGTCCATTTGAGCTGCAATACCACCAAACCCACTTTTTTCAGCCCACTCACATCTCCTCGGCTCCGCCTACCGTCGCATACTCTCCGCATGACCGTGGAATGTCTGGGCTTCGCGGCGTGGGCCGTGGAACTCGAACCAAACTCCGCTGCCAGGGTCCCTGGCGAAGGATTCACCCAACCGTGACGACAAAGGATGGGAGGTCCGAGGGTGTCCCCCAAGTCGTAGCCAATGAAAACCCCAGAACATCCGAATCAAACACCTTGCGGAAAAGAAGTATGAACTGATTGATCAATCGATCACGGCAGCTTGTTGGAATCCTTTCTGGGACAAATCCTGCCAGCGCTGGTCCCTATTTGGCGAGGAGAGGAAGGTCCTTCAGAAGGCATCCTCCAGAAAAAGGCCTCTGAAGCAGACAATCAACACACTCAACCCAGCATCTTTGTGTTGCTGGGTTGAGTGTGTTCCTGGAGTGAACTCAAAGATCTCTGGAACACTCAACCGAGGTTCCTGAAGTTCCTGAAGTTCACCCCAGGGACGCGACAAACGACGGACCGCGCGACCAGCGACCGTCGCCGTCGCGGCGGCGCACCGGATCCGCTGGACGATCTGCATGGTGAAGCTGTACTGGGCATCCACCTTGAGGCCTGTTTCGCTGGTTGGAGTCCAAATCGAGCCCCCCAAGAAGAGAAAAACCAGCACGACAAAAACCGGCGCCGCGCTCTCCAAATCCGCGTGCGCGATATCGCTGGTTGGAGGTGGTTGGACCATGGAGGACTGTTGAACCGCAACTTGGTCATCAAGCTTCTGATGTAAATTTGAGATGATTTGGGTGATGGGTGAACCCAGGGTTCAGTGGATTCTCATGAAATGCATTGGTGGTGGATGGGCATCCCTTTGTTGGCATCCCAACAGTTCCATCGTGGGCATTTGGGACGGGGTGCCTCATGTCGGCCTCGAAGGCCAGTGAATTGCAGGCTTCAGGCGTCTCATATGGTTGGCGAGGTTGATGCTTTGAGCCTACAAGTTCAACGTTGTAGGTTGTAGTTCAACGCTTGTCAACAAGTCGAGAAGGTTCTTGTTAAGGTTTAGAAGTTTAGAACAAGACTTTGCGTCCGACTTCTTTGGAGGTCCGACTTCTTTGGGTAACAGGAACCTTCTCTGCTGTTCGTTGTGATCGTGGTTTGCCAGCATCCTGTGCTGCTTCTGACTTGCTGTTGGTATCGTTTGCTCAACGTGTGATTCCATCAAAAATCTCCAAATGTGCACAACTCCCACCAAAAAAAAACATGCAGAATTGCAAAATAGCCCTCTGGAGGACTAGTGTGGTTCACAAGATTGAATGCCCCCCAGTCACTCTACCAGCGCACCTGGCAGTCTCACCAGGCTGACCTCGGTGTCACGCTTTTTGGAAGCTGGTCGTCTTGTTTCACAGTGCACAGTAGCTGGCCCATGAGTCTATGCGTGCCTCCTATACCAAAGACATCTTTGAGGTGTTCCTGATTATGAAAGCAGATGGCATCTTGAACCTCTTTCTCATATACAGGGTTGGTGAGCAAATCAGAGAACCCCGAACAACCAATGCGCGAATCCATTTCGGAACTCTGTCTACCTTTGCTGTCTACCTCTGCGGCTTCTCCTCATTAATGCGATCCATCTCATGCACAAGGCCTCTGGGCTGCCCTGCACAGGATCCCCGGAAGCAGCTGATGGACGGCTCCGCCCCATCAGCATCGTCGCGGAAGACCTCAACGGCGTTCCAAAGCGGTCGACTTTCTTCGGTTCGCAAACGGCCAGAGCTTGTCCGAGCTTATCCAAAGCCAAGGGATATCGAAACGCCGTGACCCCTGGGACTACGATTCCACCAGCATTCCGCACTCGATGTTTGGAACATGCTCTGAAACGTCCGAGTCAGTGTAAGTACTTTCATCACCGGCCCCAACACATCGAGGATTGGCGAGTTGGGACCGACAAACGGAGCCAGGAAACCCCCGGGGCTGTCAAGGCCAAGTCTGCCGGTTCAGAGCCCACCCAGCTCCAGCGTGGCAGCCGGCCCCCACCTCGCACTCGGCAGTCAAGTCAATGGCCGCAAGCACCTCACCCAGTCAGGAGAGAGCTACCAGCCCTCTCCAACAAGCACAGAAGCGACTGAAGTACCCCCAAAACCAATGAGAGACAGTCCTGCACCATCTCTTCGTTCCTGCGTGTGGCCCATAGTATGTGGGACTTCAGACTCAGGATCAACCTTTCTGATCCTTTCTGTTGGGACATTCGGGACCACATTCAACTAAGACAGCCAGAGAGCCCATGACACCAAAGGACAAGCTTGTTTGCTTGCAGGTCGCCACGAACAAACAGAAACGGTGGCCGGAAACCCAAGCCTACTAGTGAGGCCAAAGGCCGTTCCAAACAGTTGATCAGCAAAGATGCAGCGTTCAATCCTTCGAATTCCAGACTTCCACAGCCTCTCGGCGCTGTCCACAGCGGCACACCTCCACGCACCGGGACTCCAGGCCAGCTCCAGTTCCAGGTATCCCGCGGACGAGGTCAAGCGCGCCGGCGGCAAGGCCTTGCACCCAGGCACGATCACAAGTATGTCATAGCATATCACAGTATATCATATATCTCTACTCCTGCAGATTCAATGCAACATGGTGTAACCAGCAATTGCTTTTTGGGGTTGACCCGTCGATGGTTGGCTTTGCCGGTGGTCATGACCCCTATGGCCCTATGGCAGAGACCTGCACTTGTCTTTACATGGTGCTCTCGAAAGGGCAATCACCCAGCTGATGGTGCAGCCAGACCGACGAAGTAAGTACGCTCATGCCGGGGGAAGTGGATCGGCCAGGGGAAGTAAAACGCCTTTGGTGTCTTGCAAAGATCCTCTACTCTCTGAAGTTGATGGGTCCATCTGAAGGCCCTGTCGTGTCGCCCAACCGGGCAGGGTGGCGACACCATAGACTCATCAACTCATCAATCCTTTCAGGCCACTCCCTGCGCCACGTCGCGCGAACTGAGTAACTGAGGATCAAAGCCCCGGATCTTCACGCTCCCCGATTCCCCGATCGCTCCGTGCCACGCTTACAGCTTCCTTCCCCCCACATGGCCTTTATCGACCGCAATGCACAAGGGTGCTGACAAAAATGCTGAGAATGCATCTATTGCCACATATGCATTTTCTGCATCTTGCTCAGCTCAACAATTGCACAAATTCCACACGTCCGCGATGGGGCTGCGATGCGCTGTTGTCCGGGCTTTTCAAATTTGGATTCAGCGCGATTTTTGAAGCAAATTCCCTGTTGTGCTCAAATGTGCAAAGCAGCAACTTAACACGAGGCTGAAAAGCCTGTTTTGGAGGAGAAAAGGCATGTGAACACCAATGGTGTTTGGTTCCAGGTGCTCCTGGTCTTCCACTGGCGACACGACCGGCTTCAGCCCGTTCGTGCGGAAAGCTCCCCCTGTGCCCGCACCTGGGGGATGTTGGGGATGGCCAGCGAGGAAGGCACCGGTGTGCCAAAGGCATCCACCTTGGAAGGTCCATCGGAGACCATGGAAAACCCATGCCAAAATGCGGAGTCATGTAAAACTTCTTCCGTTGGGAGTGGGGGAAGAAGCCATGTCGCCCTGGTGCAAAGACGCTCTGCGTGTGGTTTTTCCACTATGGGAGCGGAGGGAAGCATCCTTCGGAGGATCTCGAGTCGTTGCTCCTGAGATTGCGGGACCCTGGTTCACCACCGATCGATACTTTGCCAATGGCCGTCAGTGGATGTTGTGAGCTCCATATGGTGAGCCAATCAAAAAAGTGGCTTTCTTCCATTGTAGTAGGTTGTTTTTGATCAACATCCCCTCTATCCAGTGTTCTCCACCAAAGGAACCTAAAGACCCTGGGACCCTCTCCTCACTTGGCCAAAGATTTGTTGGCCCCCTCGTTCCTCTACTTCTTGCCTCAAAAACGAGCGGTAGCCAACCTGGGTGACCAGGGGATGTTGGGCGCCCAGACAGGAGATGCAGTGCGCCGGGCGGTCGCCTGTGCAAGACTGCAAGACATGAACAACGGTGGTCGACACATTGAGCAGCAAAAGGGATGTGATGCTTCCGAAATCAAAGGGATGTGTTTTTGTTCGTCCTCTTCATGTGTTCTCTTGTTTCTTTCAAGCTGCCTTCTGGGTGTATCAACTATGAGACATTCAAATAGTATAAGATGTACATGGCTGCGGGTATACCACGATTACTGGAGTTGGCATGTTCATTGATTGGGCATCACCGATGTTGGTGATTTCGGTGTGGGTCACAAATCAGGCCAGGGCCATGATGGCTTCAGTTTCACGCATCATCTGCAAGACTTTCTCCCTGGATGGTTGGGGTGGACACAAAAGGAAGCAAGTCAGCTCGCTACAGTTCCTTCATAGAGGGGAAGTGGATGAGCAAGTGTGCAACCGAGTCGCCCAACCAAGTGGGCTTGGATAATCTCGTGTTAATGTCGTGAGAGGGGGGGGGCATGATTTTTGAGACACCCAAGTTCATTCGAGCAAACAAGTCGGATTCACATCACCCAAAAACCTGAAGAGTCTTCGTGCTCAACCCTCCCAGCAAGTAATGCAGGGTCCGCGCCCCTGGCACGTGCTTCTCACACTGTGATACCTCGCAGGTGGCAGCATGTAGCAGAATGGTCTACTTCACCTGCCGTGTTTGGGGGGCCTAGGCAAAAACTGAAGAATCCCCAAACCAATAAGTCTTCCCCCAACAAACCACCCAAACATGATTGTTAAGCGATGTTATATAAATGAGTGGAATATGACTGTTACGCTCCGTGTCGGAGCACTGGGACCTTGTATTGACTCACAAAAAAGGGCAACCGGGAGTCCAAGAGTTGGGGCTGCAAATGTCAAGGTCATGCAGACGTGGGTGTACCAAAAGGTACACATGTTGAAACCAACGGTTCCCCACCCCCCAAGCAATCTCCAAATGTTCTTCTGAAATGTTTGAAGTCCAGCCCTGAAAGCTGGCTTTCACGCAACCTCTTGTCGACTTCCAAACGCGGAACTTCGGTTGAAAGGACTATAGCTTGGTATTGTTTTGTTTCTATTTCTGCGACATCTCAAGCGGATCTGATGCCTTCTTCCTAGCCAGACACTCCACCTGTCTAGACTGTCCCAGCCCCAGTCAAGACCCCAAACCCCACGGCACAGGGTTCACCCGCCCGGGTTCTACACCAACCAAGTGACGCAGATGTTCGCCGCGAGGGTCGAACAGAGTGCCAAACGTCCGACACTGATTGACCCTCTGGGGAATTCCTCTAATAAAGATGGAAGAATTCCAAGTCACCAAGATCCAAAGAAACTAAAGAAACACAGCCATCCCGTCTTGCACGTCTCGTTTGTTTCCCACATCCTCCTGACTCCCCCAACTGCCTGACATAAGGTTGCCAGGAGCGCCTGCGCCCGGAAGACTTGATGCGTCCACTTTCCCGCGGAACAAGGAATGCTGCGTGCTGGAGGATGAACACCCACGACAGTCTCTTGATGAACAAAGGAAGATGCACCATGGTGGAATCGCAACATATGCCCCTCGCGAAATGACATAGCAATCAACTTGCCAGGAATAGGCTAGTGTTTTCTCCTGGTCCAGGATTTCCAGCAGATAAATACTGGTGCATTCTCCAACTCTCAAAGAACATATTAAAATACATTAAATATGATTTTGTCCATCCGTTGCTGCCTACTCTGCTGCGTTCTTCTACTGTAAATCCAAACAGCTATGAACAAACGTGGCACTTTCCTCTTGATGGATCAACCGACGCAATGACTGACCACTCCAGCCGAATTGATGTTTGAAAGTTTGACATGGACTTTCTTTTGAGTGAGACAATCACTGGCATTTTATCGATGATGTTATATCCGGAAGGTTCCAATCTCTTCAAGTCCACTGACTTGGTCCGAATGCTTTCGGCTCAGACCCCGTGGGTGCAGTGGCGATGAGGTCTTCAGGGCTCCAGACCAAGCTCACGCGCCACATGTCCGTGCCGAACACAGACACCGCGACACCTGGAGTGTTGCGAGTCGGGGGAAAGGGGTGTTGCCAACGTGTTGCTTGGGTGTATAGGAATTGAGAAGCCGCATGGACCATCATGGACCATCATGGACCTTGGAAGTGTGCTACATCATTTAGCACTTTTGAGAGGTCAACAGCAGTTCCTTTTGGCCTCCCGGGAAAAAAAAGGCCTTGGAGCGGTGAAACCACCTCGGGTCCATCGGCTCCGGGTTCTCAGCTCGACGCCATCGGAGATCTGAGACTGATCGGGTTGGGTCTCTTGAGCCGGTTGAAACGGGCTCTCCACCTCAAGAAGAGGCTCTTTTGTTATGCCCTATATAAATCTTGTACACTACAGTCAAATCCTACAAGCCTTCTTACTGCATAGTCTATGCCTCCAAAAGCAGCCTTTTGAGACTTCAAGCTGCGCCAGGTCCCCCGGGTCACCGAGGGTCCCGGCGTGGACATGGCGCAGCCCGGCGTGTCTTCGTTTCACTCTCGAGCTAGACAAACAGCCGAGTCAAGCCAGAAATGTCAGAGATAGCACAAACAATGTCGTGTCACACGTACAAGATATAGCAGTGAACTGGGCTTGTAAACGCCTGTAACCACTTCCATCTTACGCACAAAACCTTGTTCATCAACACTGCTCTGCCAACAAGGGAGACCTGAGAACGAAGGGGTGGAACATGGAACGTGTTATCCGGGACATCAAACTTGGCAATTGAGCTTTTCACTAAACTTCGCGTGGTTAGCCCGGCACCCACCACGACTGCGTGTTCTGTTCATGTTTAACAATCTTCCCTCACAACATCTTACGACCACTTTCCTGTTTAAATGTGGTGCTCCACCTCTGAGGTTGATTTGATAAACAGTGGATATTACTGAGTATCACTACAGTTTGTGTCAGTTCACCAAATGGATTCCTCGCAGAAGGCCATCACGGCCATTACCCTAGTCTTGTGCAAATCAGACCATGCCCTGTGGTCCGCGCCTATTGGCTTCCTACCCACCGCAAAACTGAGACCCAGCCAACAAAGGCATCTATGTCAGCCAAGCACAGGTTCCACATCTTGAGACACGCGCAACTTTCTTTTTCTCACGCACGACGCCAGCGTCAGCACGAGGGGTCATTATCGTCGAGGGGCTTTGATGCGATGGCGCACCATAGCAGAAGATTCTGCTATGCGGATGGACACTGGACAAACAACATGACTACAAGCTTCACTGAAATCTAGGTTGTTTGGGGGTTTAGGGTTGAGGATCCAGAAAGACGCTTTGCAATGAAATTTGACTTTCTACGACGCAGTCGCTCATGTGAGCGAGCCAGGCGAAAGCTCCAGGCCGCCGTACCTCAAGACACGACAGTCCTGGATACAGACATTTGTAAACATATCGACTCGAGTTTTCTGCAACGTGTTTTGGTTCCTTTTCTTTTGTAACCGGAACCTACCGCCTTTGACATGGCTGTAAGGATATGAAACAAAAGTACTTGCTCAGTAATCGGGTGTCCAATCCAAAGTCAAAGGCTCTATGAGTTGACTACTGAGTTCCAGTGGATGCAAACCAAACGGTTCAAAGCCCTGGCCACGGCGGCAAAAAAATCGGTCCAAGTGCTGCTGCAAACCCACAAAACTCTCCCGAGTTATCTCGCCTCAGTCCATCATCATCGCCTTCCGGCGCTTCGCATCCTTCCTAGGACGGGGCACCAGGCGATGTTGTTCGACCGGTCGATGCTGCCAAACCAGCAATTCTTCGGCGATGTTGGGCAACCGTGCAAAACGGAGGTCTCGAAACACCCCAGACTCTTCAGTATGAGTGGAGATGTTCTCTGTGCTGAACACCCATGCCCGCCCTGTTGGCCGAACACCAAGTTGAGAACCTTCGGAAAAAAGAATGAATCTCTGGGTTTCCACACTGTCCCTCCTTCACATGGCGGTTCTTCTTGGCCTCCTTCATGTGAGCATCACGCTTCTCCTGTGTTTCAAACAACTTCCACCACAACTTCTCATGCACACCCCACGGACTGTGGCCGAATCTGAGACTCAGTGTCTTTGTTCTGCTTGAAATGGCGTTCGAGAAACCAATGCTGTCGAATTTTGCTAGAGCATGTGATGGGGACAGAACCACAGAATGCCACCTGAGTGCTACGAAGAATCCGACGGACAAGACACAAACCACTACAAGCTCCTTCAAAATCTTCTTTGCAATCATTTTGGCTGCCAGAAGCACAACACACCAGGGTTGTGAGTCATCTAGGAGGCCAAAATGAAGAATTCCGTTTCCTCCAAAAGCAATCCTGGGCGAACCCCCCTTCAATACCCTAAAGCCTTCCCACCCTGGCCCACAAACCTCAAACCGGCCCGAGCCCACCGTGATCACGCTCAACCGGCATCCGGGCCACCACGCCGATCCAAAACAGGAACCCCCGAAAGGCGCTGATCGTGAAGCGTGGAAGCTTGCGACCAGAGGTCACAGGTTGTTCAGCGATTTTCCGCGACGGAGGGAAATGCGCAGAATTCGACGCGCCTGGATGAAGCGATCCTGCACTTCCTTCACCTTTCGTTTCCGGTCCGACGCCTGCTGCCTCACCTGACAGGAGGTCCGACGCTGGCCGAACCGAGCGGGCTGGCCGAGGGTGCCACGGCGACGGGCCCGGGGGGAAGCATGACAAGTACGTGTAGATGAACCCTGCTAGTGCTCTGATGTCTTCTTGATGGTACGTGTGGGATCGTTTTTCGCCATATTCACCACCTCTTTCATCCACTGACTGTTGACTGATGCGAAGAACAGGAAGCAGCGGGGGTTAGTCGCCCCCCAAAAAAGAACCAAAGGCCCTGCCTCTCGTCACCATCCACACGCGTCGCGCACGACCAAGCGCTCACGGCGATCGATATGAGGTGTTTTCGGGTCTCCCGGCCCGTGCTTTCTCCTTGCGGATCGTGTAGAGCCTGCTTCGAGGAAGCCGGCCGCCCGAAGCCGGCTTCGTGGACGGTCTCTCAGCGACCAGGTCCGACCGACCAGGGTGGGGGAATACTTCGATACACTGGAGTCCACAACAGGTCGTTGTCAGACTATAGGGTATCACCTGGTCTTCACTAGACCATAAACCATTGGGTGAAATCAACCGAGCGCTTGTGGCGCTGCTGTGTGGATTGTTGGACAAGGGTCAGGAGGATGGTTATGTTTGCGCCATACCCGCGCCAGGCAGATCAATAGAGCATAGACCGTAGCGACCACCTTGCATTCCGACATTCCCTTTCCAGTAGAGGCCCTGTCCCCAGCCCTCAAGGGCCGTCGGAGTGGATCACAATTGTCAGTCACCTGCGGGTGGCGCTTCCACTCCCCACCGCCCGTTCACGGTCCCAAACGGTGTCAAGGGCACGCCGCAGGAGCCTCTGGATCAGATTGTTCACCGCCTTTTCTCGTTCGCTGGACACCTGGGACACCAACCGACTGGACGCGGCTGGACATGGACAAACAAAAATCCTGGCGATGGAGGTCATGTAGGTCATGTTACCCTAGTCAGTTAAGCTCCAGCAAACACTCAAGACTCAAGATCAAGTTAATTTGCTACCACGCTGCAACTTTTTCGTGCACAAACTCAAAGAGCAAAAAAGGGTGTCCTGCCATGGATTCATCAACTCCAAACCTGTTACGCAGTCGTGTGCTCAGTGCTAAAACAGCCCTCCCAAAGAAGCAGGGGGTGCCTTAGTCTCCACTCTCAGTCTCCACCCTCTCCACCCTCTCCACCCTCTCCACCCTATCGCCGAGGGGCGATCGCCGCCTTTCGGGTCAGGGCGGTCTTCTGCTTCTTCGGAGCCAGCTTCTGCTTGGCACTGAAGGGCAAGCTCGCCTCGAGTCAAAGGTGGAAAGGAGTGGCAAGTGAGTGGCAAGTGACCGGGTCCCACCGAGTCTTGAGTGTCCCCAAAGTAAGCACCCAAGATGGTGGGCACCCCCTTGTGAGCGTCGAATCGCGCCGTGAAACCATGAAGAAACACAAGAAATACCATAAAACAAACATCATAAATCCTAAAACCCCGTTCCTTCTCGCAGTCCTTGCCTCCTTGACACACCATCACCCCTGAAAACACCACGGCGCCTGGAGGCTCTTGGGCACCTTCAAGGGGTTGAAGCGACGCTCAGGACGGACCAGCTGCTTGCCGTAGCGGCCTCGGGAAGGGGGGATCTTCCCGGCCCTGGCAATCAATCCAAAACTGCACCATATGGGCAACACAGTGTCCATCTCCCGTGTCGCATCCCCCCATGTCCCATCCCAGACATGGTTGGATCCAAGATTCTCAGTCCGATCTGTCAGAGTGGAGAACGGCCCCTTGTTCAAATCCGACAGGTCAACCATGGGTCGTTCCATCTCCAGGGCCGGGCATTTGAACGGGTCCCACGTTCAGGTCCACTATATCATGGTCCCGACCCACTTTCATGCAACTCAACAGGTCTCCGGCCTTTCCAAGGCCCAATGACCTATCGAGTCGGGTCGACCTGGGCCTTCCGGCTGTCTGGGTTGTCAGGCACCGGCACACCTGCGGCGACCACGGGTATTCAACGGAGCAGATCTCTGCTCGACTTGGGATCGTTCCAGTTTAAATAAATTCTAAACCAAAAAAAGGGCGTACGATAAATGGGTAATCTACCATGAAATCTGAATCAATGGAGCTTCCAAATCCGTTTCACCCTCAAGACTTCATGCAGCTGATTCCTTCACCGCAAGGCAAAACTGGCGGCGCTCTAGAATAGGGTCAACCAGGTAAGTGATTAACCTATGGTACTTCACTTCGGGTGCATTCCCTCACTTGCCACTGGGCCGTACCAAACAGGCTTGGAGCATACTCCCGCTTTCCAGCAGCACCGCACCCCGCTTCGCCCCCGCTCCCGGGCGGGCAGTCCGCGGACAGCTCGTCCGCCTTGAGCGGCGCGCAGCTCCCCAATCAGCCGCGCAGGGCGCCAGTTGGGCACGTCCAGAACCGGATGATAAAACCTGGCTCCGTTGGGATGGACTTCTTCGAACTTGCGAGCTCCCAAGGTGCTCCCACCGTTGTTTAGCTTGCCAAATTCATTTGCCCCTCAACCTCACGGACCCCGAACACCTCACAGACCCCTTCAAACCTCCGCTCCCCAAACGCGCCAGGGCAGCTCTTTGAAAGGCACCGTGATCCAACACCTCTGGACGGAGAGACACTCGGCGTTGGGTGCTCGGGCATGCTCGGGCATGCTCGGGCGTGACCGGCGTACACGGGAGAGACGGTCCCACTGAGAGGGCGACTTGCAGACCACCAGGTCAGACATGAGGATACGATCCTCGCCACGCTGAAATCATGCTGGACATTGGTGCCATGTTGTTCGGTGGGTGGCTGAGAGGAGTTGAGACCTAAGCCAAAGCGTGGGATCAGTGAACGTGCCCAAGGTCACTACAAGATCCTGATCCTTTTTTGAAAACAAGAATGACACACCAAACTTGCAAAAACAATGAACTCTGGTTAAAGGATCCGTCCTCCTCGCCATCATCCAACAGCTTTTTGTTTTCAGTTGGGAATGGATCAAAACCCGACGGAACCCGGTGCTACAGGTGGTTTGCATTGAGATTGTTATTTGTCTTTAGCCTCCTCAAGTCGTTGGGGTCTCAATCTCGAAGCATACCCTTCGACTTCAACTGAGGAATTGCTAAATTCAAGTCTTTCCCCAATGGACCTCGCATTCTTGGTGAGTACACACAAACATAACTCGATTCTTGCGCCGTGTTGCCCTGACACTTTGACCCATCCAAAAAGGATTAACAAGGTATTTAGGTAAAACTCGAGTCATAGAGTCCGTAGACTGTCCCATCTTCCACTGGGGTCTCCCTGGCCTCGAAGGATGCCCGGAACTGGCCTTTCACACCCTCGGCCTGGTCGAGGGGTCGGACGGATGTGGAGGGTGGAGACTAGGAGGCCCCGAAGGGTGGAGACGTCGGTCGAGTTGCGTAGAAAAGAGGTACCTGCCTTAGAATCGGTCGAGCCCCGTTTTTTGAATGTGCCTGTCTGTGTGGAACATCTTTCTGACAGCCTTAGAGCCTTTTGGAGGGCACACCCGTGCTCTCATCTCCCTGTCACCTTCTTGATCTCTCCACGGATGCCACTCACCGTCTGGATCTTCGCGTGCATGTATTTGTTCACCTGCCCGGACGCGATATTGAGCGCCTTCGGGGAGCGGACGCGGTTGGACGGTGGGTGGCCGAATGGCAAGGAAGTAAGGAAGACGTATCTTTGAGCCAGAGTTCTTTGTGTGTGTGTGTACCCAGGGTTCTAAAGACTTAAAATGCTGTAAGTCTCAGGTGAGTCAGGGTGGATTGAAATATTGGCCCGCTGGCTTGAATGGATGAGCTGATCAGCAAAACGGTCTGCCTCGAGGTCGGAGCTGAACATATTCTTGATGAAGGCAGTGTTCCTGAAGATCTTGTAGGGCCTCGAGATTAGAGTGACTAGAGCAGCATGGGACTTGCGTGTGTTGGTCTTGGATTTCACATTTAAACCACTCTAGTTCTATGATTCCTGCCTTCATCGCAGCTTTCACAAGGACCACCAACTCAGACCTACACATCCCTTGGTCCTGCGTCTTGGTATATCTAAGGCTCCAGGCTCGCCCACGAGCTTCAGCTTCTTCTTCACTTCGAAGTTTGGAGCCGCTTCCAGAACCTCTGATGAAATCTGGAGTTGACTTGACCACAAGCCAGTCAACTAGGCACCTCACTCAACGACGCACCCGATTTTCCTTTGATCGTTTTCTGTCGAAGCAAACATCAATCGACCAGCTCATGGGTCATTTGGGGTCACAAAGAACTCAGGAGACACAAAGTTCTTCAGATTATTCAACTGTGTAAAATCACCACCGTGAACCAGAAAAGCGATGGGGTTGGAGAGAAAGCATCACTGAGGCAACGCCCAAGAAAAACATCCAAATGTCCACCTTCTTTTCAGACAAGCAAATGAAATGATCATAAATGATCCTCATCAGACCTGCAACGAACGGTGGAACGAGATCCGTTGGATTTTACTCCAACTCCCCAGCTTTGAGGCCGCCGGCGACACCCGTACCGCAGACTCGGAAGTGCCCGACCTTCTCCCAACTCCTGGAGGAATGCAAACCCGCCCAAGGCGCCACGTCGAGTTCGATGTCTTTGTTCATCAATTTCACTCATTGTATGCAACCCGCCCAAGCGCTCTGAAAGATCACTTGACCGGCTGCTTCAGCAGAAGGTTCTCAAGAACTTCAATGGCCACAAAAAAAACGCCCCGTTCATGCAATGATTAAGGGTTAAGAAACCACAGGAGGTGTGTATACAGGTTGTGGCTGTCAATGGCTGTCACTGTCACTCTTGGGAAGCGCCATAATCAATAAATCAAAGCAAGATCAAAAACACCAAGAACGAGGACCGCGCTTCAGCCTTTCCGCTTGACTCCCCGCCTGAACGCCAAGACGCCGGTGTTCGGAGGCACCATAGGGCCATAACCTGACCATGTCCGGGGTTTTCACGCCAGCGTGGCACCAAGAAACAGGATCCCATCCTGGAATGCATCCCATCCACTCTAAGGCTGGGACACGTCATGGTACAATGCGCATGCTCCAGGGTATACTTCAAGTACCGCATCCCTCAGCCGCTGCCGCCCGGAGACCCGGTCGCGCCACCCGCGTCCCGCTCTTCGAGCTCCGGGCGCTTCTCGCCTCGATCTTCGAGGGAAAAGACCGGCAGAGTCCTTTCGGCCAAGGCGTGCCGCGGCCGGCGGCGCATGGCGCCGGGGTCCGGGGAGCTGGAGGGGTCGCCCAGCTGGGTCACCAAAGCAGATCCAAACGAACGGGTCGACCTGCTTGCTTGGTGGTCGGGTGACCACCCGGACCGCGAGATTCCCAGGGTGAGCTCCCCTTCACTTTAGATCTTGCAGGATCTTGCGAGTTCCAAAAAGGTGGCAAAGGTCCCATGTCTCCCCTGATAAGGACTATATGACTTTATGTTGAGTATTTTGGTTTGATCATGCTTCACATCATGAACTCAACAGCTGACAAACTTCTTCGTGGTCAACCTACCTCCAGCTAGACTAGAAAATTGGACAGCTCTCACAGGTTTGCATGAATGAACTCTCTCACAAGTGATTGGCTACTACACGGAACCCACAAGAAGATCGAAAGTTGTTCCAGGTATATACATGAAAATGTGTATCAAATCCAAACACCACCGCTCAACGCACACCAAGGAGACTCGCAGAAAACGGTCTGTCTCCACATTAAAAGCAGCCGAGCATCTGGAAACGTCGCCAGCCCACAGAAAGTAACAAGGCATCTGAGCTCTTTAGGAGTTTCGGATGCCACCGGTGCCGCTTGATCCTGGTCTGCACCTTGCCGGCGGTGCTGCGACAACTGCACAACCAAGGCTTCCATAACAGACTCTTCTGCTGAAGGCTCTAAGCTTCTGCTGAAGGCTATCATTGAGAACGTTTTGTCTGGTTCCACCAAGCCCTTCGTGTGATTTGTGGTTCAGCTTCGAGTGCATGTAGTTCATCTTCAGGTCCTGGTGCCTTTAAAAATCCCTGGATGATTGACCAAGCTAATCCGTTTATATATTGGGTCCCTACGTTCGATGGTCCATTCAATCGCATCGGTTCACATGTCCCAGTCAGTCCAACGCATACAGCAGGCCGAAGCATTGGAAGATGCATCCATTGCGTTTGACAACTTAAGATCCATCTTCCACTCGGTTTATGGGACACCCCATGGCCAAAGGAGTTGTCTATTTCAACCAACCAACCAACCAACCAAGCAACATAATGTAACCTAACTTACTAACTAATTCAACCCGGTTTCTCTTGTTAAGGTCCCCGCCAAGCCCATGCGCGATTCGCCCGCCAGAAGTCCACCCAGAATGATCGGCCTCAGCGGGCAAAAAGCAAAGCTTTGGATGGGAGGTTGAAGGACATGGCCCGGTTCCCAACCTTTCCTACCTTTCACAAAAAGATTTCATGTACGACTCTCCGCAGACGCGCTTCGTTGCCCGCGCTCTGGGGCGCTCCGCTTCTCTCGACGCAGCTCGGCGACGCACGCCGCCGGGACGTCCTGCAGGGCGGCAAGGCATCCAGCGGACCGGGACCACGGGCGATGAATCGAATCGCCGAAGGGGAAAACCCAAGCGAAGTCGACAGACCATCGACGGGAAAATCGCCCGTCCCAAGCGAAGTCTCATGCGCAGGCTCTTTTGTTCAGGCTTGTTATGATCCGCAACAATCAGAGGATTCTGGGCCTTTTTGTGCCCAGAGCGTTCAATAAATAGAGCTCTGGAGGAGGGCCCTCAGATTGGATAGAAATGCAGACACGGGTGCAGGTACATCCGTGCTTGCTCCCTGTGAACTCAAGCGTTGCATACCAGGAGTGAGATCAGCAAGGTACGCACGGAAATCGACCTTTCTAGAGCAACACAAGAGCCTCACATAGCTAAGACGTTGACAACGACAGACTACAACATCAGATTGCCCAAACACTTGTATAGTAAACAAGAATCTGCATTCCACAGTTTACAGGTCTAAAGCAACCAAAGGAGCAATCCAAGTCAGAAGCAATTCTGACGACAAGGTCTTCATACAGAAGCTCGCATCTTTGATGATTTTGCTGCCGTTGCCAAATTCAAAAAACAACAAACCTTGGTACTTCCGTTTTGTCGCTATGTCCTTGGCAGGTCTATTCGCCTCCAATGAGTCTTGTGTCTAATCCTTTGGCGACGGGAATCTCTTGCCACGTCTTTGTTGTCTTCTTCTCAACAAACCGGAGGAAGAAGACACAAACCGGCGGAAAGCCTCCAGGAATCGGACGCAAACATCATCACGTGGCAGCAGGGCCTTCCCTACAGCTCACACCACTCAAGCATATGACGAAACCGCCTGCACACTGTTGACTCAATCTCTTTCTTTGAGGAAAACTTCTTGAGGCAATGCATACATTGTTTCCCAAACGACACTGTCTGCCGCACCCATCCATCACTCTGAGTCAGCTTGAAGAGCGTGGATGCTGGAATGATGTCAAAGGCTTCCGGGGACTGCTTGACCAGACTTGCGAGCCCGTCTGCGGTGCATTTCTCGATAAGGTCAGACAAGTGCTTTCGAAGCAGCACCGCGTCCTCCCCATGCAACAAAGGAAACTGATGGGCCCAAAGGACAAGACATTTCAAGCGAAGATCAGCTGAAAACCCACAATCATCCAGCAAATTGAACAGCTCTTTGACCAACAAGTCTGAGGCCTGCTGTGACAAAGACTCAGCCAAAGTTGAGCTGGAGTCGCTACTCTTGCATGCCTTAATGAAGGTTTGATAGAGAATCCTCACGAAGTCCTCATTCATCAACAAGAACTTGGCCTCACGGATCATGCTGATGCAATTCTCTGCATTGATGCCATCTACCCTGCCTGTGTACATCCATCGAAGGATGAATTCGAAGTAATCATCTCGAAGCTTCTCGTCCAAACGCAGTGTGTAGTCACCCGAGGTTGTCTCTGCATCATCTGCAAACAGATTCTTAAAGAACCCACTACTCTCTGTGACAAAATACTTGTGAACAAAAAAGCACCGGTCATTCACAACAAGGCAGGCATTGGAATCCCATGGATTGTTGTAGAACTGCTTGCCATTCTCCTTGGTCTTGGCAATCTTGCAAAAAGGGTGGTCTGCTTCAAGATCAGGAAAGCATCTCTTGCGAGTCTCGGAGCTCTGCACTGGCACCTCCCAGGGAAAAAACTTCAACCAGGCAATGAGATCTCCAAGGGATTATCTAAATCTGTGAAAACTAAATCAAGTTTTGTGGGGGATTTCATGGTTGCCTGATTTTTGCTGAATCTCGCTGGATCACATTTCATCGGTGTCTCTTTGAGTCTTCGTCTGAGGAGTCCCCAGAAACCCCCCGTGAACCGGTGTTTTCCTGTCGCCTCTGTCGCCTCTGTGGCCTCTGTCTCTAAACCAGTGTCTTTCGACCTTGGTCTGTGGTCCCTGTGATCCAAAGAAGCTGTTTACGGGAGAGCCTTCGTGGTTTGGCTTCGATCACCCCGTGACAAAAGCTGTTTATGTCGGAGCTGTCTGAGACAGTAGATACCCTGCACAAAGGTTGCTTTTCTGGGGTAGATAGATTCCCCGTTCGTGGGAGCAAATTGGGGCCTAGACCTGGCTACTCCAGGTTCACAACAAAATGATAGCTTTTGATGTGCAGTTTTAGATCAAAACTTAGCTCAGCTGGTGGTTCAACCAACCATGTGAAGATGATTGCTAGTGGGTTGAATTACCTCAGTTCAAGGGTTGGAAACAACAAACATTCCTGATCAGAAACCTCTGAGTAACAGTTGTTGGTCGTTTGAACTATGATGCTTATTGCTCATATACAGCTGAAATCATGTCTCCAGCAATGTCATACCAGTCAATTGACGCCATTCTTCGAACCAATGGTCGTAAACCAATCGTCTCACTGTGTAAACAATCGTCTATTCTCCATCTGATTCTAAATCAATGCCAATTAGTGGATTCAACAAAATCCAAAAAAAGGTTGTATAGCCCCTGTATGTTCGTCATCCAATATCAAATGTTGAACCCAAATCAGCAGTCTAGACTACCTCTTAGATTGTAGTTAACCATCGCATGCTAATTATCACTTGTCGGAATAGCACGTCCCACCATCTTGCATTTGAGACTTGCAGCCTCACATCCAAGTCAATTGCAACATCAACACCCGGATTAGTCTACCGCCAAGGTACATCTCCAGCCCTGGCAGCCGCTGTGCCGTGGCTTATCACAGGAGACCTTTCTTTCTGGTTTTTGTCTTTGAGCCAATGCGCCAGGCAGTGGTAAAGGTCATCACCAACCAAATGTTCGAGGGTCATCTAAGTCGAAAACTGTTGGACGCTTAGGCAGTCTGAGAAAAAATGAAGTATGAAGATCTCCCATTGGGTATGTCCTTGTGCTATCCAGAGGTGCTGCAACTTCCGGGGGACTCAAACACACAACACCCACCAGCCACCCAGTGGGAACCGATGTTTGGCAACTCCCACCTTTGCATTCAGCTGTCTCAGGCAAAAAAAACACCTCGCAACTTCACCAAGAAATATCAAACAAGAATGGTCAGGTGTGATGATCGGTGTGATGCACGGATCAACCTGACTGGTGCGTCACAACTTGCTACCGAAAAAGAAAAATCGTCCCCGTCAGGATCACCGAGTCAGCCTCAAGGTCAGTCCTCAGTGGACCCTTCTACTTGGGGGGTTTCTCCGGGGGCACACCGAGGGCGGGCCGATGAGTATCTCCCCACTGGGAGCTGTCAGACTTCGGGTCTGGTCCAAGACCCGCAGATCTTTCCAGACAAAAAAAGCGGCCAAGTTCACCATGCAAAGGCACAGGCGAGAACAAAGAGAAGACTACCTACCAAACTGCAGATTACAAGTCTCCTGAGACTACAAAAAGAAGAGAAAGCAGAATGTCTCCAACATTCTACAGCTCTCCTGCAGATGAACCGCACCAAAAATCCTCCCCAAAGCGTCTCTGATGCGGATATCCTCCAGCCGTACCCTCACGAAGCAGCCGATGGGAAAGCCTGGCGACCAGACCCATCGTCGAGTCGCTGGTCTGATTCACTCAGGGTTGTGTCGCAGGATCTTCGCAAATCGTCACCTTAAGACTGATGATTTGGCAGATTTGTCGGGTGCTTCCGCTTGTGAAATGCTTGAAGAAGTCCAAGGAGCTGACAAGACACATGGACCACATCCCATCTCAACAGAATCGCTGGAAGATTTGGAATCCAACGTAGTGCCCAATCAAATACCAAGGTTATAGGAAACTTCCCGTGGTTTCGTATCTAGTGACTATAGTGCTGAAATCCAACGAAAGTTCTAGGTACATATTGCTTGGGTAACGAGACTTGCTCCTTATGAAACTTGTAACTGTCCGAATTCTCGGGTGGTGTAAGAGTCTTCCGGGAGATGTCTTGACAATGTCTTGGGGGTAGCCATCTGGCCGCCTTACCTTCATAACTCAGAAGAACACTGACACACACCTATATCTTCCCCATGGATTCTCTCCTGTTCTGCTTTCTCCTGATGTACCGGAGAGATTTGGAAAATTGGTGTAGCAAAAACACAGAAACCAATCCTAATTCTGCTTGAATGTCGCTGGAGCGTTTGCATGTCTAACGTGCTACCACACGTAAAACTGCTTGCCGCAACGCTCCAAGAGCCCATCCCTTTCTGCCAGCGCCACCGTCCAGAAAAACATCCGGAATGGTCTGGACGGCATCCTCCTTCGCTTCCGGGTTCTCCTGCAAGGGGCTTTGATTCTCTTTTGCCCATCTAGTATCGTTGGGGCAAACCATGGTCTGCTCGCCCCCAAAAGGACCGAGACCCTTTACAGCTTTGGTTCCTCAAACAGCAGCAGGAAGACAACAAGTATGTTGCGTTTTCTTGATCTCCTCAGCTGCCTCGCCATCTTCAGCCGGCGCTTTCTCCTCCTTCTCTTCATCTTCCTCGCAGCGGGGGGCGTCAGAACGCGACGGGTCACCCCGTGTCGTCGAACTCAACCCACCGTGTCGTCGGCCCTGCCTCCTCCTCCTCAGCCGAGCTCCATCCACCTGGACGGAAAGGCCCCGGGAAGTGAGCTCCAAAATAAAAGGAAGGCGAGTGCTTTGGAGGAAGACAATCAACCAAAAATCATGAATGGTGGATGGTGTTAAAGAACAACCAGTTGGCAGATTTTCAGACTCCATCCTCACTTCCATTCAATTGAAGTAAAAATAATACGCTGCTTCTTCTGTCTTCTTCTTCTCTCACCTGCTGGCTCCAGTTGAACCCATGTTGAACCACACCTGCCAAGGCTCTCAAACGGATGGCTTTCCTCCTTGGCACCCCGACCGGTGATGAACTTCCTCGCCTCCACAGCCGACGAAGCCGGAGCGCAGCTGTCGCGTCGCGTCGGGCTCCCGTCTTCGTTCGAACGGTTTCCAATGAGAAGCCAGGTTCATCAGGTGATGACCAGTATATAAACACAATAGCATACTTCATGAAGAGCCTCAAGCTCAAGCTCTGTTCAACCAAGGCGAATTCCCAAAATCTGTCAGGATCTTTCGAATTCTGCGGCTGGATCCGGTGGTAAACATGCCCTTGACCACAAATGGCCGCACTGCTGTGAAATCCGTCAACAGCTCCGGTTCCACGCCTTCAGCGCCTCCTTCCGCGACTCATCCCAAGCGAGCTCCTGGCGCTTCAAGCGCCGAGCGAAAAGCCACCAGGTTCGTCTAGTGAGGCCTTCCATCGGCAGGCAGGCAGACAGACAGGCAGACAGACAGACAGAGAGACAGACAGACAGACAGACAGACAAACAGACAGACAGACAGAGACAGACAGAGACAGACAGAGACAGACAGACACAGACAGACACAGACAGACACAGACAGACACAGACAGACACAGACAGACACAGACAGACACAGACAGACACAGACAGACACAGACAGACACAGACAGACACAGACAGACACAGACAGACACAAACAGACAGACAGAGAGATGTGTGTAGCACGGCGTGCGACGCAATCTGCAGGGCCACAACCAGTCTCGGGCAAGGTTGGGAATCACCAAAAGTCCGTAACCCGGAATGGCCCTGTTGGTTGGTTGTGTGGAAATCAAAAGGCCTGAGGAGGAGGTCTATGGCACAGGATTTCAAGTTGCTATCTGAGGCGGATTTTATCAATACTAAAGCCACTTACATGCAGCATGGTCCTTATTGATGGAGCCATTTTTTGGTGACCTGACTGCTTGCCCTGTCACAATCACCACACTCCTTGGTGAAATTTTCTGATGGAACAACAATCACCAAACTCCGCAGGGCCAAAGTAGAACTATGCCTCCGGAGTTTCTACCAACTGCTACGGTAGCTCTGTGGTTTGTTGACTCATCATCAGCTCATGGCTCCCTTGGCGGGCGCCCTCCAGGTTTTTAGCTTCACAGAATCTGTTGATGATTCTGTCAGCCTCCTCTTGAGTTGGGAGAACAAGGCTTCAGCCAGGTTTGATGACATCACTTGGTGGTCCACGAAATCAGCCCCAACATGGGCAGCTACCAGGTACATCTGACCCCAAAAACTCTGCAAATGACATCTAAACCAAAACCTTCTCATCATGGTTCTATCATTGAGAAACATGTGACACACGACACATGCCCATTCTTCTTGTGCATTCCGGCACATCACGGCTTTCCCCGCTGGATTCCAGCGACCAAAAATCGGTTTGCATGCCCACCTCTCCAGGCAGCTTGGGCATACGCGCCGAGTCCAAACCATCCAGGTCTCCCAAGTTTCCCAGCAACGCCGAGGACCTGCCGTTCGCGCGGCTCCCTGTGGTTGGAAAGATGGGGTCGAGCCGGGGTGGGGAGGTCTCGGATGCGGTTCTTCCTTACCTTAGATTCGAAACTGGGCTTTATCTTGTTGGTGGGTTGATCTTCACAGGTCCTTAGCTAAGAAAGCCTGTTTGGAGGTCCCCTCCTCAGTCCATCTGTGCAACAGGCCACGGTGGAGGGTTGTGTCTGGTCGAACGGTGCCCTGCAAACGCGCTTCCCTTCCTTTCTTGGGCTCCAGACTTCTCTCCTGGCCTGGCAAGACGCCCGAACCCCAACATCCGAGAAGGCATGTGGTTCTTTTTCCGCGTCCGAAGGCCAAGCGCGGCCCAAGTGCACCTGGCTTCAGCCTCCTCATTATCCTCATCCTCAAACCTCACCCGTCATGAAGTGCATGAAGTGGTTCCGACTTGATCGGAAGGCACAAAACATTCACCAGCTGGGCAAACGGAACATGAAGGAAAACGAAGGCTCGACTGGATCGGCCACGTGTCATCCACTACACGATCTCACGAAGCATCTCATCCTATCAGGCAAAATAAAACAACTCCGACCGTTTATCGCCAAACGTGTTTCTCTTGGCACCTTTGGTGCCTCCAAAAAAATCCTGGTTGTGGAATGTTGTAGGAGTCTCCGAGCTCTAAGTCGCGCACAACGGCACCGTGTGGTGGTCGGTGGCCGTTCCCAAGTTCTCCGGCTGCGCACGGCTGCCTGGATGGCGTGCTGATGATCGCGGGTGTTCAAAGCAGAAACTATCGCATAAGTAGGAGCTTGAGAACTAATGAAGACTTTATGGAAGAATGGATGCCTTCGACCTCTTCATGAAGCATCTTGGGGAACAACGGACTTGGCGAAAACATTTGGACTTGGGGAACCAGGAGGATACAGTTTGGCACTTCCCAAGATGCTCCTGAAAACTCAACAGAACTGCTGACTCTAAAAGAAAAGGATTCTGTCTAATCAGAAGAACATGAATACGAAAGACGTCGTCAACCAGAACAAAGAAAACCACCCAACGGTGACGCACCTGAGGACCCGCCGAACTGCTCCGTGCCACTGCCGTAGACCTCAGCTGCGAAAAGAAGGAAAAGCGACACGACGTGAACCCGCCGGCATTGTAGTTTTCATTATAGTTTTAGTGAGTCATAGCAGACTCATTGTGAATCACATTGTGTCTCTTTGCAACTTCAAAAAAAAATGTTGCAGAATGTCTGCTACATCGGCGAATGGAAAATAGAAGGATTTGTTTTCTGGATGTTCTATGCCACTTACAGTTGCCTAGTTCAGATCAACCGAGGCACAGCGACAAAACCTTACTCAGCCGAGTGCTCGTGTGCCCGTTCAACCAACCCGAAGTCGAGACTGGTGATGATTCCCTCAACCAGTCGCGCAAATATATGATCAGGTCTTCAATCAGGACCAAATCGACAGCGCCAGAATGACCCTAAACCAAACCCTAAACCAAATCTCTCCGAGAAGCCTACCTTTTCAGCCCCCTTCGGCACCGCCTTCAGCACCGCTCCCAACCAAGGCGCCATCTCCTCCAGCTTCGGTGCGCGCGCGAAGCGCCGCGCAGCAGCACTCAACATCTCCTCGTCCCGCTCCTGGGCTTGGTCCGGGCGCCGCAGTTGCTTGTACTGAAAAACAACAATCTCTTTGTAGATCAAACGATCCAGGAAACCAGACTGTGCCAAGGGATTGCAGTGATTGACACATATCTGTCAATTTCCGCGCCTCCACATCCTCCTCCGCGGCCTCTTCTTCCTCTCCCTCATCCACCTCATCGCCCTCAGCCTGCTTGTTCAGCTGGAGGTCTGGCTTTTCTCTTGCTCAAGTAGAAGCTCTTTTAGCACATGACATGTGACCTACCCCATGATCAGTTCTTTTTTCACCTGTTTCTCCTTGATTTGTGCATACCCCCCACTGCGCAAAAGTCTGTATTTGTGTGTGTGTGACCGTGGCCAGGACAACTGAAACCATTCAAAACGCATATCCTACTTGTAGTGATCGAAGGTAAGTCAAGAATTCTCTGGCCTCCTTCTCATCCTGTTCTGCGACCTGGTCAGGTGAAAAAGCCCAAGCCACCAAGCAGCTACAAGCATCTCAAGATCTAAGTTTTCTTTCCATTTGCGGACGTCGAAAGCGTAGCTTGTGACACGCAAGATCTAAGTGGAAAAATCAACAGACTACAAACTACCCAAACCTCCCCCTCATCCCATCCACAATTCAAGTCGAAAAAATTCATTGAAACGCTCATACACACTGGGTTGAAAAAATAGATTAATGATAAACCATCAAGGCCCCAAGGCCCTTGAATATGTCTTACACACTGGGTTGAATATTTAAATAAATGAATAACACACCAGACCAAGGCCCCCAAGGCCATCGAGTCATCAACCTCGGAAACCTAGCGGAGTTCGGGGAGGCCCTCCCGCCACGGCAACTGGGGCGCCTCCGGTGCTGGCCGCCGCTCGTGGTTTCCTGACTGAAATGCCAATTCAGGTGCACATTGAGAAGAGTTTTGTGGGTGCTCACAAAGAGGACTTGCCAAAAAGGAAGACCCGAAACCCTTATACTAGGAACAGATCGCATAGGAGTTGAGGTGTCAAGTGACATAAGGAATATGTCCTATGTCATGTCAAAAACGTGGTGGCACCTAACCGCTGGTGACTATAGGTAGAACAGGATGAGATAGGAGTTGTGGTACCACTTAAAGAGTAGCCTTGTATTGGGTTGCATTGGCAATCTGGTGATGCCTCGCATTATCTTGTTTTTGGTTCTTTTTGCCTGATGACATTGGATATATATATATATATGTGCTACCCCCACAAATGTATACCTTTATATAATTAATTTTATGTTGATTCCCAATTTAAGTTTGATTAAATCTATATTAATCTTAATTTGATTCTAGTGCAATGCATTGTTTTGTTTCAGCTATTTTGAATCTTATACTATTCAATTTCAGTTGTTTTGATTCTAGTTTAGTTATATTTTGATTATCAATTTATATTTGATTAATTCTAATTTGATTTGAACTCGATTCTAGTTCAATGCAAATTTATTTCTAATTCAATACAAATTGAATTATCATTTAATTACGACTGTATTCTAGAAAAAAGGTTTTGCTGGGGGATGTGATTTTAAGAAAACAACCTTTAAGAAAGCAACACATAATTGACATCCTCAATGACCTAATTCTAATTTAAGTCGTTTTGAAATCAAATTCAAATCTATTTAAATCGACTGTAATTCTATTTCAGTTATCATTCAATTCAATTTCAATTTTGAGTAAAGTCCATATATAGTATATGTTAATTGGAATTAAATGAGCATTTATCTTTAGTTAATGGTTACTTCTTTTCAATTTAATTTCTATGCAGTTTATGTTTAAATCTAATATAATTCCCTTTTTCTAATCTAGCTATGTCTGTTATTCAACTTTAATTTGCTTTCAGAGAGTGCATCTTGCTTTTAAAATGAACGCTTTGTATATAATTTCTGCGTTGCTTTCTTAAAGGTTGCCTTCTTAAAATCACACCCCCAGCAAAGCCCTCTTAGAATAAAGTCAGAGCTAAATGAGAATTCAATTTGCATTGAATTAGAAAAAGATTGGCATTGAACTAGAATGGTATTTACAGTGTTTTATGCCTATTTTTGAGTATAACAAATCTAACAAAAAAACAAGCACTTCCCAAATCAAACAACAAAAACAATTGAACGGAAACACATAAAACAAACAAATATCCCCCGTTTTGAGTATTTGATCTTTGGTTTTACCATTGCAGACGTTTGCGTTCAGGAAGTTTATGAATGCTCCTTCCACACTGTACTCAGCACAAAATCCAGAAAAACGAGAGGGGATTCAAGATTTAATATTCAAGATTCAAGATTTAAGATTCAAGATTCAAGGCCTAGAAAGAAGTTCTTGAATCCTGTATTCAAAACTTGAATCCAGGATCCAGAGTTTGGAATCCTGGATTCAAGAACTTTTTTCTAGGCCTTGAATCTTGAATCTTAAATCTTGAATCCCCTCTCGTTTGCACACGTTTGCAAACGCTATTTCTGGGTTTTGTGCTGAGTACAGTGTGGAAGGAGCATTCATAAACTTCCTGAACGCAAACGTCTGCAATGGTAAAACCAAACATCAAATACTCAAAGCGGGGGATATTTGTTTTATGTGTTTCCGTTCAATTGTTTTTGTTGTTTGAATTGGGAAGTGCTTTGTTTTTTGTTAGACCGTTTATACTCAAATGTATGCACAAAACACTGTAGATACCAATCAAAACCAAAAGAGGTAGACATTTGGGGGGGGTACCATATATATATATATATACACTCCGGACACCAAGGGGATGCGGCAAATGACTTGGAAATGTGTATTCCCATGTATGTTTTCTAATTTCCATGTCATCCGAAGGTAGTATATGCATGTATACATATATATATGTATATGTATATATATATATGTTCTTATCATCCTCCTTTGTTATGATTACACGCGACTGTGCTACTTCCTGCGTCGCCTGTGCAGCGATGGAAGCGCTGCATTTAGTGCTTTCGAGGACAACCTTCTGACATTAAAGCCTCCCTGAGGATCAAGTTTGTCATCAAGAGAAGCAGCACTGCCGAATAGTCACTATAATTATGCTTGGGTCACCCAATACAGTCTGAACAATAAGCATGTGAGACAACAGCCATGAACATCGCACATCCTCAGCCTCGCAGCAGTTTGACCACCAAACCTGCCACTCAGCCTGAAGCGAAAACCACTGTGCTATTGCCAGAAGGTAGACTGGCAACCCTCACGGTTTCCCAACCCAGATCGAATGCGCCTGTGGGCCGAACTGTGGTGTTCCCGACCAGTCGGAGGTTTGGCTTCTCCGACACCTGCGCAGGCCGGTGGCATTGAAGCAAGCATCATGGGGTGAGGAAAGGGCCGGACGTACTGTGGTCTTCTCAGATCTTTCCAGAAAGCTGCTGGGAACAAAAAGGTAGAACCCTACCTACTTACTTGTTTACCTACTTCCGAACTCTTCGCACCTTGTCCAAAGAGCCTTCTGACTCTTGTAGAGCTCGGACCTTGGGCGTTTCCGTCAGCACGAGCAACTCTATAATAATCCCAAGCTCCGGGTCCATCTCTCTCTCTCTCTCCCCTTTCCCATCATATCATGAGAGGATAAGAGCAAGAAGCGTCAACCTTTCTCAAAGACTCCAATCTTTCGCAAAGAGGACTCGCCACATGGGCGAGTAAAACCAGCTGCTTTCGCGGCGGAAGAACCGTGAACTCGGTTCCCCCGACCAGCCGGACCGCTTCCGGCAGCTCGGAAGGCCTGGGCGGACCAACGGACGGCACCTGTTCGGACGGACGCGAGGATGAAGGGATCACACCGAGCCAGGACGAAGTGATCCAAGGACGAAGTCTCAAACATGTGACGCCACCGGACCGTGTTTCTAGGGGTGTGGGAGGTGGAGAGATAGGACTCTTGGTGGTTGTGTAGGCATTTGTGGAGCATAAGAAAGCTCATTCCTGAGAGGCATTCCAATAAATCGGATTCTCCTCTACATGAAGGAGATCCAAGGCCTCCACTCTTTCTCTTGCCCAGGCGTGAAGCCAGCCTCATGTCCAAAAGGCGTCATTGCTGTCTATCAACAATCAAAGCTCGAAACAGTGGGTACAATTAAAACTCATGGGTTCTCTAAAACATTCCTTGTGGAATGCTGATTCTTTCACAAGCGAAAACAGCTCTCACTTGCCACCCTTCTCATCTGAGACGCACTCACCCAACCCTACTCAGTCTCCACTCCACCCTTCTTCCTCTTATCCTCGCACCGACACGCCCGCACCACGCCTGCTGATCCGGGACGTAGATGTACATCGCCTCGGAGTCCACGGTGATGCTACCGATCTCCGAGCCTCACAAGGAACAACTCCTCTCATCGATCTCTTACATGCCATGAACTCAGCAGGCCTTGTTCCTTTTTGGACATGCGAGGCGAGGCCACTCAGAAACCCAAGGCTCTCAAAAAAGACCTGTGCTTGATCAGCAACAGCGACAACAACCTCTTGGACGGCAAAAAGCAAATCACCCAAGGGCAGTCGCCCGTCGCTGCCTGGAGCATAGACCACACGATGGCGCTCTGCCAAAGTCCGCAAGGCGTTCTTCTTCGGCCTCAGCCGGCTGCGGCGGACGGCGGACAACCAAGCCATTCCCGGGTTGGAATTGAAGTGGCCAAACTAAACATCACGTATGACCAATATAGATTTGCATTCCTTCCAGAGAGTTGGTAGATCTGGAAGAAAAAGCACTCTTCCGAAGTCACTGATGAAATGACACAGGATCCCATCTCCATCCCATCCACACCTGCATCACCTGCATCTTCTGCATCTTCATCTCCACCATCATCCATCATCTCCAACAAAAATGGAATAAACCATCAATAAACCATGCTCATGCCATGGATGTTCATCAAGTCCCAAATGCACTTGTTCTTGGTCACTCCATCCGCTCCATCCGCTCGGTCCGTCGCTCCAGGCGCTCCCCACTTCTCGTCGCCCTTCCGCGCTTGCGCCCGCCGCCGCTCGGCCTCGGTCTCCTGCGGCGGAGGGCACCTGAAGCAAGATGGAATCGGGGGACACATGGGCGGCGGATGGTGGCAGGATGTGGGGTTTGTTGTGAGTTTGGAACACGGGAAATGTGAAGTTGGGATCAAAAGCATTCAAAGGCTGGAGTCCAAAGGTCCAACCCCCAACATCCCCCCGAAAACGCGTCGCGCTCGGAGGTGGCGCGGACTAAGGAGATGGGCGGGTCCGTCAACTTCTTGATCCCAGCGATGTTGAAATCTCCTGCCCGGGGTGCGAGATTGTGTTTTTTTCATGAAAGCTCATGAAACAACGCTGTGGTGGTGATTGAGGATGGGGAATGGATGTGAGATGATGTGTGGGAACGTCCTGCAAGATTTGCTAACCACTCCTCTCTTGGCATCAATCATGGAAGGTGGAGTCTGTGTCTTCGGATGTCAGAGTTGAGGAGATGATGACGTCTGGCATGCTTCAGGCTGCAGGTGACTTGCACCAAAGGACCCGGGAAACCCTCTCCCGCGGTCCTACGCCTGGGAGGTGCACCTGGCACGAGATTTTGCGGGTGTTGCACCTCTTGAAAGAAGGAACCAAACAATTGAGGGACCCATGTCCAATGGGTTCACCACACCCAAGCACTGGAGCTGGGTTCTTTTTGAGGCAAGTATTTGGGTTCCTAATGTCGTTGTAAACACGGCTCCCAAGAATTCCGGCCAGAGAATCCCAAGCTATCCTCGGTCACACCTGAACAGGTCCTGGTGGGAAAACGTGCCGTTCGGATCAATTCTCAGCCAGGATGACTTCAATTCCTTCTCTGAGCCGCCCACCATAGACCTGCCCAAGGACAAACGACGGGATGCGATGGGTAAACGCGGACATCCCTTTTTCGTCGAAAGCCTTGGAACCATCTTGGAACCTGAAAAGAAATCCTAGCAACAAGAGCATGGCTACTAGAAAGGGCAATACTGCTAGTAGCAAGAAGCGACTAGTACTAGTATTGTATCTTGGTACTTCTTAGTGGCTGCCTCTTTCTTTTTCTCCCCACTCGGCAAAGGATCTGTGGACCGTCTCGAGGACTCGACCGTCTCCCGTCGGACGTCAGACTCCGAGCACCCGACATATCCATACAGATCCAAGCGCCTCAGAGCAACCAGGCAGACGTGCCAGGACGCTTGATAAAGACCCTGTCACAACTGGTGGGTCGGTAGACTCTGTCACAACTCGGCATCTTGTCCATGCAGCTGGTCTGATCAGGAACTGTGCTGTTCACCGGATTCATCCACCGGATTCAACTCGATACTTCCCACAGCAACAAAAACACCCGTCCCTGACAGAGTCCCTCCGCTCAAAAAGCAAACGGGTTTGGGCTCCAAAACCTCCGTCCGTTCTGTTTCTTCCCTTCACCCCTCCGCCTCGCCGAGGCCTCTGGGAGAGTAGGATCCGTCTGATCTTCCCACCTGAGCCAAAGCGACGCCATGCGCGGACGCCGTGGAAGATCAGCCCCCCTGCCTTCTCGGGTTCCCGCCACAACCCATGGCGTTGAGGGTTGGTGCGATTTCGAAAGGTTCTGGACAAAATGACACAAACCGGCCACCCTACATTCTGTCTATACACTCTTTTGATAAGGAGCTGATTGTCTATGATTGTCCTATGCTTATGTGTTCGGATTTTTTGCTGCAGAGGAGAAGCAAAAGAAAGGAGTTGCCCCGACGCATTGAGGCCCGAACCGCAGAGCCAAGACATATGGATGGCTTTGTCTCCAGGAAAGGAGCGGTGCTTTTTGGACCTCGGGAACCCCCGCACCCAAACCCTCGCGCTTCAGCCGCGCTTCGCCGCGCTTTCTTCGGTGCATCGGGTGCTCCTCTGAGGATTCCGGGCAGCAATAAACCGCGCGAGATTCTGGATCTCAAGCCGGTGATAGCGCCTGATTTGAGAAGTCGCCCCACGATGGCTTGGACTTCATGGAACGTCCTGTCGTCTGTCGTCCTTAAAGCGAAAAGAATACTCCAAGGGTCCGGCCCATACTGCAAACCACTTAAATAGAAGAGCTTGGCTCCATCGTACAGCTCGGCCCTTGCAAAAGAAAGACCACTGAAGCATCCAAAGGGCATTGGCTTCCAACTGCCCCCAAAACGAAAGAAAAATGTTTACTACATGCTGCTTTGCCGGTCGAGTGTTTCTTGTCTCGCAGAACAATCCAGAAGCGGCTAAGATCAGATCCAGAAGCGGTGCTTCATGCTCTTTTTGACCTCTGCTCACGTGCGTGCGGTCAAAATCCCGGCGCTCAGCACGCTGAAAAGGCTGACCCCCACTCAAGCTGAAAAGGTGCATCTGCTCGGAAGGACACCTTTCTCAGCTGCTTGTTCTCTTTGAAGGAGTCCAAATGGGTCAAAACACCGATGACCTGCAGGCTGCAGGTCGGAAAGTCCGGCCCGTTCTCGGCCGTACGGCCCACTGCATGCTATGCGAGGTTGTTGTTGCATTCTCCTTGGGCTTAGCCTAGTCATTCTTGCCTTGGTCTTAGACCCACTAGCACACACCACACTAGCACCATGGCTTGCAAGCCCGATCTCGAGTTTTGGCTGGCCCAATCCACCGCTTGAACAGTTGCGACTCCTCCTCGGGACTTCACCTCTGAGTCCTGAAATACTCCCCAGAATAGACATGTTCACATCTGTTCACTGGGTCCCTCAAACTCTGGCTGTCGTAGGCAAAGTGGAAACTTCAGGGTCTGAGTCTGAGGCTTTGCTGTTTTTCAGCAAACAACATCCAAGCGCAAAAGAAACACAAAGTTAAGAAAGCCTCAGAAACAGCTACCGGGAAGACTGGTTCTTTCCAAATTCGATCAGGAAGAGGCTTCATGGTCAATGTTCATTTGATTTCACCTCTATTGGCCGATTCCCTTGCTGCGCCCTGGAGGAAACATTATCACCACCCCGACCACTCCAAACAGTGCTCCACTGGGCATGCCCGGCACGGGGAAAGCCATGCCTCAGTGGCGTCACGGCCGTAAACAACGTAACCCCTGTTTCGTGGCGTCACCTCAACGACCGGGCTGTTCCACCCCGCGATGTGGGTCGAAATCGATGTCACCGACGTTGATTTGGTGGATGCGAATCCACCCACGTTGGTGGGCGGGACATCCATCAAAAGCAGTTTGATCAAAGTGTCGACAGCGCGCACTCAGATCTGCTCCACTTGCAAAGGACCATAGTGAAGCTGAGCTACACCAGCCACATCAAACGTCACCACCCCCCGCCACTGCCCTGTGTATGCAGATGTTGGGCTCTACAGCCCTATGGAGGTCTGAACAGGGCCCTGGCACTTGAAGGATGTTGATGAACTCGAAGGTTTCGAGCTCAAAGCCATACGATGCATCGATGAGCAGCAACACCTCGGGCCGCAGCTCAATGAGCTGCGGAGCAGCTCTGTGGCGGGATGGACGATCATAGACTTGGGACCGGGACCCCCTCCGATTGGTGGACATTGGCATGAAGATCCATCTGACTTCAATTTGAGGAGTTCTTTATATTCGGAGCCTCACTCAAATAAGTCCAAAAGGAACACGGCTGAAGTTTAGACTCAACTGGCTGGGTCATCCTCCAAGGTCTCCCTACTAACAACACATCGACACTTGAATACACAGCTGGCTTTCTCTGCAAAATCCTCAAACCAAACCTCTCCAACATCTACTCTTCCCCTCAGTTTAGCACCAAATCGGCAATTTTCGCCAGGTCCAGCATCGCTGACATCGCCTGTGGACACTCGATGATGGTCAGCCGACGATGTCGGCCACTCACCAAGGTCACCTGAGAAAAATCCGTCCAGCGTCAGCTCGGAGACACGGGTGTTGCCATGGTCCGTGCAGGGACAAAACGGAAAATCTCTCTGTCAACGTGGCCAGAGATTGAAAGGCCCATCCCTCAACCACAACTGCTTCTTTCTCAGCCCCTAACTGGGCCACCCATTGCGATCAAGCGCTGCCTCTCGTCCGTCAAATGTGGAAGTTGAGAAACAAAAGTAGCGTATGTAGGAGACACCACTTCCATGAAGGAACCACTCGGCGGCCCACTTGGCATAATGCTTCACCAGCGACTGGATCAGGGTCGTCTTCCCAACGCCTCACAACGTTGCGCTGGCACCGCCCGCTATGAAACTCAGAAGCTGTGCCTGGGGGACCCTGAACCACCACGATGAAGGGCGGAGGTACCTGTGAGCAGCGAGGTGGCGACACAGAACCTTCACGCTTGGACCAAGGTGTTGCTGTCGAAGGTGTCTTGGGTGGGTTCGTAAGAAGCTGCGCTCGGAAGAATACGGGCCACTGACCAAGCTGTTTATATAACTCAATGTGTTTTGTACAATGGTGCCAATGAGTGATGGTGACTTCAAGACGATTGGAACCAGGAACCATGAAAACCAAAAATATCCTCACACGGCATCAAATCATATATATATAACATACATATACATACAGCTAAATGGAATGAAACTAAAATCAAACAATTTGCCTATAAGAAAAACTCCTCATCACTGCTAACAACCCTCCCTCCCTCCCTCCCTCCCTCCCTCCCTGGTTTCAGGGCCTCAGGGGTCTTGTCTACCTTCGGAGCTTTGTCCTTCTTGGCTTGCCGCTCCAAGGTATACTGCACGCGTCGTTGCACCTGATCTGCACAGCAAACATGACAAATCACAAGTGACTAATGAGTGTGACTGTGCTAGTGGATGATCACCATGAAATACAATTCCATTTTTGATCATGCCACTTCGATGAAATTCATGTTCCCCTCCAGCCCCACTCAGTTAGTAACACTTCGCTTGCCACCAGAGAAGGTATGCGCTTTCGGATTGTGTTTCTCAACCTGGCAGGGACTTGCATGGTGTGTACTTACTGCATAACAAATGCTTGTCCAAACATTTTTTGGACTTGAAAACACATTGCCTTCCCAAGCTGCTTGGTTTTCTTCTTCTTTGCTTTCTGTCCTGCCGCCCTGTCAAGAATTGAGATTGAGCATGCAGCGATGCTTGTGGCATACACCCGCCTCTTCTTGTGTGTTTTTTTGGGTTTTTCGCCTGACTCCATGGCTCAACGTCTGGCGAACGTGATTAAAATCAGCTTACAAGGCGGTGCCACTATTGCTACATTTGGCAAATCAATGTTTTGCCAACTCAACCAATGTTCAAGACTTTGACTTCGGAAAAATATCAACCCAAGGAACGGTAGCTGAAATCTGTCAATCAAGTTCATGCATGTCATCTTGACATTGTGCAAACTTGAAATGCTCAGCTGCAGCTGCGCAATAACATAGAGGCAAAATGTTGAATGGTCAAACAATGTGCCCTTTTCATTACTACACATGTAAGCCAATGTAAGCGTTTCTGGCTTTGTTTGCCACTTCCTCGCTTCCTGGGTCCTGCATCTTTGGCATGTCGCTGCACACTCAAGTTTGAACAAAAAGAACTTGTTGCCTCTCAAGCGGCATGGGGTTTCCAGCCACCAATTTTGTTTCATAATCATTCAATTGCGTGAGGCAGCGCGTTGTGAAAACACACGGGCAGCACACCAGACCTTTTCACAGTCGGCAACTCCAAATGACAACAAATGCATCACAGGATTTTGGACATTAATTAAGGAAAGTGCAATCCAAAGACAGACAAGACATTGGCAAAAGCAGTAGAAAAACGGTTGAAACAAAAAACAATAATGCTCACTTGAAAAAACAAAAATAAAGCAAGCAAGAAAGGATTTTTCAAAAAGCAAGGTTTGAAGCACAAAAAGTGAGAAATAGAGTGAGCAAAATAGCAAGCGGTGGTTGACATATACGCATCGAAAGCACGAACCTCGACGCTAGCCAAAATTTCCACTGGGTCCAGTTTGTACTCATGGCCCGCGCATGAGGCCTGGTCATGGTCTTTGAGGCAGCAGGGCCCACAGCCCGCAAAGGTTTGGATTCAAGAATGCCAAAAATGTTCCACAACGGTGTCAAAGCATGTCAAAATGATTGGGTTAAAACAGAGCACCTAACAGATGAATTAAGTAAGCAAGAAAATAGGTAAATAAGCAAGTAAGCAAGCATGCAAGTAAGTAAGTAAGCATAATCTAGCGAGCAAGCAAGCAAGCAAGCAAGCAAGCAAGAAAGCGAGCGAGCGAGCGAACGAGCGAGCACGCAGGTAGGTAGGCAGGTAGGTAGGTAGGTTACTGACTAAATAAAATAGGTAGGTAAGTAAATACATAAGCAAGTAGATAAGTAAGTAAATAGGTAAGTAAGTAAATAGGTAAGTAAGTAAATAAGTGAGTAAGAAAGTAAGTAAGCAAGAAAGAAAGAAAGTAAGTAAGGAAGAAGTAAGTAGGGAAAGAACTAAGTAGGTAAGGAAGTAAGTAAGGAAAGAACTAAGTAAGTAAGTAAGTAAGTAAGTGAGTGAGTGAGTGAGTGAGTGAGTAAAGTAAAGTAAAGCAAAGTAAAGTAAAGTGAAGTACACTAAAGTAAAGTAAAGTAAGTAAGTACGTAAGTAAGAAGGTCAATAAGAAGTAAGTAAGTAAGTAAGTAGTAAGTAAGTAAGTAAGTAAGTAAGTAAGTAAGTAAGTAAGTAAGTAAAGTAAGTAAGTAAGTAAGTAAGTAAGTAAGTAAGTAAGTAAGTAGTAAATGAGTAAGTAAGTAAGTGAATGAATAAGTCAGCAAGTAAGTAAGTAAATGAGTAAGTAAGTAGGTAAGTAAGTAAGCAAGTGAGTGAGTGAGTAAGTATGCAAGCAAGAATTTTAGAAAGTAAGCAAGTAAGTAAGCAAGTTAGTGTGCAAGTGAATGAGCAAATGAATAAATATGAGCCAAAAAAATGACCTGTTTTTTGCACGGGTGGAGCCGCCATTCATGCAGAAGGTACACAGGTCAGCTTGTGCAATTTTTTGCAGAGTCTCCAAAGAGGGCCAAAACAAGTCAAGTTGAAAATGTGACAAACAAGAATGTAAGAGCAAAGAACAACAATGCTGTTGGATTGGGCTGGTCCAACACCCAACAAAAAGCAAACAACTCTTAAGAATTGACAACAGAACCACTCTGACGTCGCTCCAAAACATGTTTCATTGTGAACGTCCAACGTTCGTTTTTGCTGCCCATGTGGATAATGCCCTGCATGTTCACGGGACAGGCAAGGACCGTAAGATCAGTGGCTCTGCTGTAGGCGACATCAGCACAGGTGTAGCACTCGTTGTCAAAATCCTCTTGATCCGCTTGAGGAAGTTGGATCGGCCATGGAGAATGACACAGTGTCGCGCGGTGGCTCCGCTACTTTGACTGCCGTTTCAGCATTGGCCTTTTTTCCTTTCTGTTCAAAGTAGTTTTGGAGCACCAGGGCGCTGTTCCGCGTCGTGGTGAGAACAAAGGCAGTGTCTCTTCGCTCCCCTTCTTGTGGTTGCCATTCCTCAATGCAGTTGTGGGTCGAGATGGTTGGTGACGGTGGGGGGTCGGCTCGGGCGGCATCAAGGTCATCATGGTGCTGCCAGTTGACAAAACGCAGGCCTGTAGCTGCAACGGTTCGCAGACCTCTTGCAAGACCCGAGCACTGGGAGGTGAAAGGGTTGTTCTGCAGGACCGACACATCGGTGCCAGCCTGAGGTGAGCAAGCATGTTCCTGCGTAGCTCTTCATCAAATGCTTCGGCATTGAATGTCCCACTGCTCCCCTAATTCAGCGGTCAGGGATTAACCCAATCTGGCATCTCAAACTTGTGGCACATCTCAAAGGTGTTACATTCGACATATGGTCCTCTCCATGTAGTTTTGTTTTCCATTTTTGAGGAGCCGCCTGAGTTGCGTGCATCCTGAGAATGCTCGGTGGGCAATACATAGCAATGCAGGCGGGTGCACTTCCCGCAGCGAAGAGCACAGCAAGAAGGCTTCTTGCCCTACGCGCCGCAGCTTCTTCGAAAGACAGAGTTGCTCCAAATGCGTACAGTGTGCAAAGGTCGATCCCTAGATAGCAGTTAGATCAGTACGAGAGAGATCAACCCGTTGTTGCCGCTTGCAGTTTTCACACGCAGCTGGCCCTAGGAAGTTGAAATCCGGCCAGGGGCCCAAGGGGCCCCACCCTGGCCGTGTCCTTGCCGTAGGCCGTCTCTCCTCTCCGAAGGAGAGAGTGGAGTCCCGCCCCTGCCGCCGACCCCTGCTCGACCCATGCGCAGTCCCGCGTTTTACAGTGTTTTCTGCTTCTTGCATTTTTCCGGCTTTGTGGCTCAAGATGGGTCAACATGGCGCAACATGAGCCGAAAAAAGTGCCCAAGTTGGACCAACATAGCCCCCAAGCTGGGTCAAGATAACCCCACGATGGGTCAACATAGCCCCAAGATGGGCCAACATAGCCTCCAAGATGGGCCAACCTAGCCCCAAGAGTGGCCAACACAGCCCCGACTGTGGGCCAACATGGCACCCAAAATGCGCCAACCTAGCATGTTTCCCTCCATGGCATGGGGTTTGCGTGGACCTTGGGGATTTGGTTTCCAGATGGCCCAGTTTTTGCGTTTCCTTTTTGTTTGGGCCAACACAGAGGCAAGATCGGGCGACATATGTCTAAGCTGGGCCAACAGAAGGTCAAGGTGGGGCAGCAGAGGGCCCCGATAGGCCAAACATAAGAGCCCAAAGATAGCCCAAGAGTGGCCAACACAGCCCCGACTGTGGGCCAACATGGCACCCAAAATGAGCCAACCTAGCCGAGACAGCCCCCAACCCTCCGGGGCTGAGCCATGTTTTCCCTCCATGCGTGGATTTTGGGGATTTGGTTTCCAGATGGCCGCCAGATACGCCAACATAGCCCGAAGACCCCGCTGGCACAACATAGGCCCCAGATGGGGCAATTGTAGGCTCCAGCTGGGCCAACATAACCCCCACGCTGGGACAACAGC